GTGTGTATGGTGCTAAAGAGATGGTTCTATGGATAAGAGTGTTTACCGCTCTTGAAAATGACCCAGGTTTGTTCCCTAATGCTCACGTGGTAGCTCACAACACCTGTAACTCCAGTTCCGGGGATCCAGTGTCCCTTGGCCTCTGTAGGCTCCTGCACAAACACAAACACACACACACACACACACACACACACACACACACACAGTAAAAAGCTAGGCATCTGTTGTCAAATTTAGGGTAAAGAAAAATCAAGGCTCGGGCATGGTTGAGTGTAGGTGAGTTGTGGGAAGTGCCCATCCTGGGGCCAGGACTGAGGCTGTGAGAGTGTTCTAACCCTAGGCTGGGATCTTATCTGTGTTTAGGCCCTAGCCACTGCGTGCTGGTCTGTCCTGAAAGCCAAGAGGAGGCTCCTGATGGTGAGTGATGGCTGAAGCCCCTTGGGGGCTACGCTGGGTCCTGACTCCCAGCACTCCCCTGACCAGTTAGGAAGGGAAGGCCCAGCAGAGCATCCAGAGTCCCCACTCCCACACTGACCACCCATCCTGCCACCGTACCTCACTTGGCCAGGTGCCCCAGAGGGCATGTAGCTCCACCTTGTTTCCTCCCTCGGGAGCGGCCATCATATCCCAGGACTCAGCAGAGGAGGCCACTGAAGGAGGGAGGCTAGGAGGGACGGTGAGTGCACAGGAGTGGCCTCAGAGTCAGCGAGCAGGCAGACTTCCTCCTGCCCGGTCAGCACAGCTGCTATGGCCAGTGCTTTGGGTAGACTTTGCCCACTGAGGCCTGCATGGGGCAGCTCTCAGGGTAGGCTGCTAGCCCCCCCCCCCCCTTCTGTAGAACTGAAAATCAGGGCTATACAAGCCCAGGGTCAGCTAGCCAGGACATAAGTGGGCCTTTTGATGACTCCTGATCCCCAACGCTGGCCTGATCCTTAGCCCTGCCACTCACCACAGGTGCCGGATGGCTTCATCTCCCATTTCTACTCCGTATCGGAGCATGTCAGTCCTGTGCTGGCTTTTGGCTTCCTGGGACCCAAGCCCCAGCTCGCGGAAGTCTGTGCTTTCTTCAAGGTATATGACGACAATCCCTGCCTCCCTGCTCGTGACACAGGCACCCTCTCAGTGCCAGAAGAGGGGTGGGGGCCTGGGCTGCTCTAGATGAGGATGTAGAAGGAGCCCCAGGAAGGCAGGGCTTGAGAATGGGAGAGTGGGCGGGGGCTTGGTCATTGAGAAAGGGACTTTGTAGGATGTAGAAAATGTCACAGGACTCAGGCCCAACACCAGTCTCCTACCCCCAGCACCAGATTGTGCAGTACCTGAGGGACATGTTCGACCTGGACAACGTGCGATATACGTCGGTGCCAGCCCTAGCAGAAGACATCCTACAGCTGTCCCGGCGCCGCAGCGAGATCCTGTTGGGCTACCTGGGGGCACCAGTGACTAGCAGCACTGGGCTGAATGGGCCACTGCCTCGAGAGAACGGGCCCCTGGAAGAGCTGCAGTAATGGGGACACAGGCTGGAGGGGAGAGGTGGCTGCTTGAACCTCATTCACAAGGGTGATGGGAGAGAGAAGGCTGCCCCTCCCGTTAGGTCGGCATCCAAGGGCCAGGGTGGCCAAGGGCCATTGTCCCTCAGCCAGCTATACCTCCTCTTCTGGGAATCCCAACACCCAGAGGACAAATTTCCACGGAGAGGAACCACTAGGAACCCTTGGGGTTGCCTGGGAAGCAGGGACAGGCCAGGGACAGTAAGGTGTGATAAGGGGAAGACCGTGAGAGGAAGGTGTTAGAGAGAAGGCTCTCTGTATGGACCATAGAGCCCCAATCCCTCTGGGCTGCAGACAGCACAAGAGGATATCGGTGGGGGAGAGGACATGCAGGGCTGTGTGGTGACAGTCACAGGGCCCTGGAATAGGAGCCAGCACCCAGGCTTCTGGCCAGTCCGGAAAGCCCCATCTGGGCCATCCAGAGGTGGGCTGGCCTGTGCTCACATCTGAGCGGGAACTAGCCCTTCACAAGCCAGGCACCAACAACCCAGGGCCCTGTCCTACCACAGTCCCACGCCCTGCCAAAGACTCAGTTCTTACCCACCTCTGCCACCACCAAAGATGGAGGAGGGTGGACTGGGCACTTCCTACCAGCCTATGACCCTGGAGCTCCCTGGTCAGTGCTGGGCTCCAGCTGAGGGCTCTAACCAGAGCTCACAAAGGCCTATCCCCTGTGTTACCATCTGCTGCTCTAGAAGTGAGGACCTAGAAACTGTGGCAAGGAGGGCAGAGGGTGGCAGGATGCACAGCAGGGCCCCGCCCCCACCCCCCACCCCCACCCCCACTTCTGACAAGAAGCTGTACTCAGCACTTTGCCTTCAACTCCATGTACACATACTCTGGAGCTGCACAGCAGCATAGAGCCCACCTCCGGCAGCTGCCAGCCAGGGGCCCGCAGGCAGTTCTGTAAGCATTTGCCATGGCAGCTGCCCGGGTCCTGGCAGCCCTCTCCTTTCGCTTGAACTGGGAAGTTTTTATTTATTGCCTTAACACTTTATTTGGATGTTCTGCCCATCCCAGGTGGTGAGACGTGCGGGAGAAAAGACTCCCGTTCCGGTCTGGAGTTGAGCACTGGCTCTGGGACCCAGTCCCTCTGGAAGGGGCAAGGGCTTCCCAGGGCCGGGAGGATACAGTGAGGATAGGGCGGCCATGGCTCTGGCTGCAGATCCTCTCTGAGGCCTCTGCGCAGAAGGGAGCAGCCCTCCACACGGTCTTGACATTCCATTCATTTGCACTTACCCTGAGCTGTGAATGTAACCCTGGGCCAAGGCCCACTCTGATTCACCCCTAGATCCCACAGCAGTGGCATTTTCATCTTGTCCTTGCTTATGTGTTCATGCACTGGCCTCTAGCACTCGATCTGTCTCAACTTCCAAACCCTGATGTAGAGCGTGGGCAACGACTGTGAATCAGATAAATGATGGAAATGGCCTCTTCCTGTGTCTTGCTGGGTGTAGGGCTGGGCTGTGGTGGGCTGGGAGCAGTGGCTGGAAAGCTGCCCTTGGGTGCAGTGGGTAGGGGTTCCAGGAGGAACAAGGTCACTATCAGCCTGATGTGGGCTGTGAACCCTCTTGGGGCCACGTGACAGCATGACAAGCTCCGTCTGTCCCTGGGATGGCAAGATGCAGATGTGAAGTGGGTGGCCTGCACCTCTGGTCCTCAGTTTCCACATCTGTAAATCACAGGCATTGCATCCAGGCAGTGGTTGAGAAGGGTGGGCCAGGTGATCACAGTCTTTCGGGTCTTTATGGGCATCTGTTGTAGCTTGAGTTTTCCTGCCTGGCCCACAGTCAGGACAAATCTCTGTCACCCGCCAGTCCCACAGTCTCTCAGACCCAACCAAGTAAACACAGAGACTTATATTGGTTACAAACTGTATGGCCGTGGCAGGCTTCTTGCTAACTGTTCTTACAGCTTAAATTAATCCATTTCTATTAATCTATACCTTGCCACGTGGCTTGTGGCTTACCGGTACTTTACATCTTCCTTGTCCTGATGGCGGCTGGCAGTGTCTCTCTGATTCAGCCTTCCACTTCCCAGTTTTTTCTCCTCCTTGTCCCGTCTATACTTCCTGCCTGGCCACTGACCAATCAGTGATTTATTTATTGACCAATCAGCAACACATTTGACATACAGACCATCCCACAGCAATCTGTCTTATGTTTCTGTTGCTGTGATGAAGCTCCATGACCAAAAGCAACTTGGGAAGGAAAGGGTTTATTTCACTCACAGTTCTTTTTTTGTGTGTTTTTTGTTTTTCCAGACAGGGTTTCTCTGTGTAGCTTTGGAGGCTGTTCTGGAATTCACTCTATAGACCAGGCTGGCCTTGAACTCACAGAGATCCACCTGCCTCTACCTTCCAGTGCACCACCACCACCCGGCATCACTCTGAGTTCATCATTAAAAGCAGTGAGGGCAGAACCTGGAGGCAGGAGCCGAGGCAGAGGCCATTGATGGGTGCTCCTTACTGGCTTGCTTGGCCTGCTTTTGTATAGAACCCAGGACCACTAGTCCAGGGATGGCCCCACCATCAATGGGCTGGGCCCTCCCCATCAGTCACTAAGAAAATGCCCTCCAGGCCTGCCTACAGCCCCATTTTATGGAGGCGTTTTCTCCGTTGAGGCTCCTTCCTCTCTGATGACTAGTTTCTGTCAAGTTGACAGAAAAACAGCCAATATACAGCTGATCGGTGGCACACGCCTTTAATCCCAGCACTTGGGCAGCAGAGGCAGGAGGATTTCTGTGGGTTTAAGCCCAGCCTGGTCTACAGAGTGAGTTCTAGGCCAACTAGGGTTACACAGAGAAACCCTGTCTGAAAAAAGTTTTTTAAGGGCGGGGGCTGGGCATGGAGTAGATAAAGTGCTTGCTGTGGGAGTTCAGGCCCCAGCATCCCGATGTGGCAGCATAATTCCAGCTGGGGCAGAGATCCTTAGGGCCTTGAAAGCCAGCCAGTTTAGCTGAATCACAAATCTGGGTTCAGTGAGAGTTCCTGCCTTAAAACATGACGTCAAGATCAGTAAAGGAAGACACTCATTTACCTTTGGCCTCACATACATCTGTACAACATGTGCCCATATACACACAGAATTTTTTTCTTCAGACAGGGTCTCTCTGTAGCCAGATTTCTTTCTCTCTCTCTCTCTCTCTCTCTCTCTCTCTCTCTCTCTCTCTCTCTCTCTCTCTCTCTCGTCTCTCTCTCCTCTCTCCTCTCTCCTCTCTCTCTCTTGCCCTGAATGTTCTGGTCCTTGCTGTGTAGACCAGGTTGGTCTTGAACCCACAGAGATCTGTCTGGCTCTGCATCCTGAGTGTTGGGATTAAAGTCTTGTGCCACCACATTGAGCTTGACAGGCTTTTTCAAGGACTGGAGGTGCATCTTTGTGGCAGAGCACTTAGCCAGCACCCACAAAGCCCTGCATTCAGTCCCCAGCCCCACACTATTCAAACCCAACAAAGTACACTACAAAACCAATACCTTTATTGGCACTTAACACTGCCATACTTGTTTCCAGTGTATTTAGAGCGAGCTTCAGGCGTGAGCGGCCTTCCCAAGCACTGCAGCGAGCAGATCTTCAAGGCGGGGTTCCGGTGGGTGTAGCCTTATCACAGTTGCACCTGGAACAGCGGTTCTGTCCTGTCTGCACTGGGGCTCTGGCAGAACTAAACTCCAGCCCTACCTGAAAATGATGTGGCTGTGGTGGCACAGTTTGCAATCCTGGGAAAGGAGAGAGAGATTAGGCATGAAGATCAAAGGGCAAAGCCATCTCTGGTTACACCGAGTTCAAGGCCAGCCTGAGCTTCAAGAGACCCCGTCTCAAAAGGGGACAGGTGAAGTGGTGCACACAAAGGTAGAGATGAGGACGACTAGGAGTCCCAGGCCACCTCTGGCTACTACGTAAGTCTAGGCTAGTCTGCCTCTACATGAGACCCTCCCTCAAAAAGGAGAAATGAGACAGGGCAGGGTGCCTCAACTGGTAGACTACTTGTCTGGCATGCAGGAAGCCCTGGCTTCGGTCTCTGTAGAACCACCTAAACTGGGTTTGATGGCGCACACCTGTGGGGCCAGCACTGTGGAGGTGGAAACAGGAGGATCAAAAGGACAAGACTGTCCTCAGCTCCATAGCCAGTTCGAGGCCAGCTGGGATGCCTGAGACCTCATCTCAACCGAATAAATGGAAGGGTGCATGCTTGAACCCCCTTCAGCAACTGCAGAGGTGTAAGCTGTGACATGTCACTCCAGTGCTGGGAAATAAGTAGGCTTTAAACAAGGCAAGTGGTTTGTTTAAGCAGCATTCTGGAGGTGTACTTCGTACCCCATACATGCATTTCCTTAAGGGTTTTAGTAAGGAGGCAGAATGTACCGGCTCCTACAATACACGTCTAAAATGTTGCTATCACCCTCGTGTGCTCTCTCCAAGCTGCCACCAGCTTTCTCCACTCCCTGCTTTTTCTGGACCTTTCCAGTGAGTTGGACCATGTCATATGTGGTCTTTGAGTTGGTGCTTTCTCTGGTAGAATAATGTTTTTGAGAGAAATTCATTTCACACTGGGGATCCAATCCAGAGCTCATGTATGCTAAGCAAGTCAAGTACTCTGCCAGCCGAGCTACACCCACTTCCCTGGTTCTGCTGTTCGAGATTTATTACTATTATTATTATTATTATTATTATTATTATTATTATTATTAGTGTGTGTGTGTGTATGTTAGGGCTTCTAATGCTATGATGACACACCATGACCAAAGTAACGTGGGGAGGAAAGTGTTTATTTGGCTTATACTTCCACATCGTAGTTCATCACTGAAGGAAGTCAGGGCGGGAACCTGGAGGCAGACGCTGATGCAGAGGCTGTGGAGGGGTGCTGCTTACTGGCTTGCTCACAATGGCTTGTTCAACCTGCTTTCTTATAGAAGCCAGGATGACGAGCCCAGGGGTGGCACCACCCACAATGAGCTGGGCCCTTCCACATTGATCATTAATTAAAAAATGCCCAGTAGGCTTGCCTACAGCCTAATCTTATGGAGGCGTTTTCTTTTTTTCTTTTTTTTCTTTTTTTTTTTTTTTGAGACAGGGTGTACATAATCACCCTGGCTATCCTGGTTCTTGGCTTTGTAGACCAGGCTGGCCTCAAACTCACAGAGATTGCCTGCCTCTGCCTCCTGAGTGCTGGGATTAAAGGCGTGTGCCACCACCATCCAAAAAGAAAATGGAGGCATTTTCTTTTCTTTTTTAAAATAGTTTTTAAGATTTATTTGTTTGTTTATGTATTTATTTTATGTGCATCAGTGTTTTGCCTGTATGTATATCTGTGTGAGGGTGTCAGATTCCCTGGAACTAGAGTTACAGACAGTTGTGAGCTGCCATGTGGGTGCTGGAATTGAACTCAGGACCTCTGGAAGAACAGCCAGTGCTCTTAACCGCTGAGCCATCTCTCCAGCCCAGGAGGCATTTTCTTAATTGAAACTTCCCCCTCACAGATGACTTTAGTGTGTGTCAGGTTGATATAAAACTATCCAGCAAAGAGTGCAGGTGCCCACAGAAGTCAGAGGAGTCAGGTCCCCTAGAACTGGAGTTATAGACTGTGGTGACCTCTTTGCCATGGGAATCACAGAGCCTCTGAAAGAGCAGTACATACCCTTGACCATGGGACATCTCTCCAGGCCCTGGTGTGGTTTTTTGAGACAGGGTCTTGCTCTGTGCTGCAGATGGGCTCCTGTGCACGACCACCCCCAGCTGGTGTCTTTATCATCGTCTTTAACTCTCATATTCCGACCCTTGGGGTTCCACAGCCCCCATGGAATGAAAGTCCTTGAGGGTCAGGGCAGAACCTAAGCAGACTGCATGCTTTCTTCATCCTGGGGGGTGGTTCATGCCCCGTCACTTTTGGGGCTCAGGCATTTCCTAAAAATAAATGACTTCTAACCCAGAGATTAGCCACCTCCCAGGAGTCAGGGCCAGGGAAGATATGCTTCCTCAGCTGTGGCTCTGTGCACAAATCAGTGTGGTGGGGTGTATGCTCAGAGTCCAACTCCATGCCTCTAATTTCAGTGTCATCCCCCTGCTACTGCCTGCCAGAGGAGGAGGTAGAGATGACAGGCTAGCTCCTGTCCTGAGACCCTGTGGCTATAGGGATGCCTGGGTCTTGGCCTTGTAAAGGGCTCTGGAGCAGGCAACCAGTACTTTGATTCGATAAGGCAGGGTGGTTCTGAACCTGTCAGGTAGTCCGGGGCACAAGTTCCCACTCTGCTCTGTTGTAGGATGTTTGATCACACTGTGAACCCCAAGATTGCTTTACTTACTGGGAAAAACCAGTTTCTAGTTGTGGTGTGGCTCAGCCCTAGCACACACCTTTAATCCAAGAGTTTTCTGCTTGGTTATTGTAAACAGGATTAAATAAAGTCAGCCCTAGGTCAAGAGGTGGAGCAAGCATTCAGCTGACAGGAAAAAGAGAAAGTAAGAGGGAGCACAGGAAGAAGAAGGGAGGGACATTCAGTTTGAGGAATTTTGTTTGAGATGGCTTAGGAGAAAGGCCCTCTTTCTGGGATGTCGGTTTAAGATCAGCTGGATGCTTTCTCTGCCTCTCTGAGCTACCAGGTTTTCACTCCAGCATCTGGCTCCCGAGTCTTTATTGGTAAAATTGAATGTTTCTGATTGTGTATAAAAACAACACTGCTACATAGTTGCTAGGCGTCTGTGGCAAATAGCTGAATGCACTGAACCTTTTTGCTTTCATTCATAAACCAGACACATGAAGATCTGCCTTGTAAACCAAGCATGGTGTAGTATGCCTGTAATCCCAGCGCTGTGGAGGAGACTCAATACTTCACAGCCACCCTTGGCTATATAGTGAGTTAAAGACCAGCCTGGACTACATAAGACCCGGTGAACAAACAGAAACAGCTGGAGAGATAGTTCAGTGGTTAAGAGCACTGGCTGCGTTTCCAGAGGACCTGGGTTTGATTCCCAGTATCCACATGGCCACTCACAAGGATCTGTAACTACAGTTCAGGGTAAATCCGACGCCCCCCTTCTGGCCTCCACAGGCATTGCATGCACACAGTACACAGACACACATACAGACAAAACACCATACATACAAAATAAGAATGAACAAAACAAGTGCTGTCTCTTAGGGCTGCTGTGACCGGCACAAGGGACTAAGGAGGAACATCTTATGGGATGATCAGAAGGACTTCATATGCCACTGGTCTAACTCTCCTCTAGATGGAGGAGTTAGAGGCAGAGCCCCTCATCTACACAGCTGGTCTGACCTTGTCACCTCTGCCATGTCAGGGGACCCTGCAGTGTCTCCTGGGCACACTTCTATCAGCAACACACTCAAGCACACCAAAGATGTACCCATGGATTTGCTTTGCCTCTGTAGACCCATAGGGGAACTTCAGCTCAGCCTATACTTGAGATGGCTGCCCTGGTCCCAAATGTCCTGCAAGAGTCGAATGGGAAGTAAACTGGTAGTTTATACCATGAGCTAGCAACAGCAAGGTCAGCTGTAGGCCACAGCATGAACAACTCCACAGTCAGTGCCCAGTGGGAGAAGCTGAATGTGCACTGCGGGGTCCTGCTTACAGCAGGTGCAAACCCAAATATGTCTGACGTAGCGCATCAGTTGTCACCTAGGGTGACTGCACAGGTCATCCTTAACTGGAGGATTCTTTTTTATTTTTTTTCCCAAGACATGGTTTCTCTTGTAGCCTTGGCTGTCTTGGAACTTGCTTTGTAGACCAGGCTGGCCTTGAACTCACAGAAATCCCAGAGATCCACTTGCCTTTGCTTACAGAGTGCTGGGATTAAAGGTGTACACCACCACTGCCCAGCTCTCTAGGGGATTCTTACACAAGAATGTTTAGCTTCTGAAACACATTGACGCATATCCATCTGGTTTCTGGTTTCTTAGAATGTCACATATGAGCACATATATGGATGATTTTGAACTCTGAATCCTCCTGACTTAGCTTCCCAAGTGAAGGGATTGTAAGTGTACATTACCAGGACTAGCATAAAAGTCACACTCACACACAATTTGGTTTTTAGTTTGTTTTTTTCTTTCAATTTTTGAGGCAGATTCTCATGTATCCCAGGCTAGCTAAGACCTCACTATGTAGCCTGTGGATGACCTTGAACTCCTGATCCTCCTGCCTCCTCCCAGGGGCTGGGGTCATAGGCATGCTCCATCTGGCTCATCTTTTCTTTTTTTGAGACAAAGTCTCATTATGTAGATCAAGTTTGCTTGGAACTTACTATGCAGCATGGGCTGGAATTCCATCCTCCTGCCTCTGCCTCTCAGGTGCTATAATTTTAAGACATGCCACCCAGTTAAATATTTTATTTAGTTAAAAAATAGCAAAAATGGGGGTTGGAGAGATGACTCAGAGGTTAAGAGCACTGGCTGCTCTTCCAGAGGTCCTGAGTTCAATCCCAGCACTCACATGGTGGCTCACACCATCGGTAATGAGATCTGGTGCCCTCTTCCATCATGCATGCACGCAGACAGGATACTGTATACATAATATATAAATAAATCTTTTTTAAAAGTAGCAAAAGTAAACTGGGTGTAGTGGCACACACCTTTAGTCTCAACACTTGGGAAGCAGAGGCAAGCAGATCTCTCTCTGAGTTCCAGATCAGCCTGCATATCATCTACATAATGAGTTCCAGGCCAGCCAAGATTACATAGTTAGACCCTGCCTTTAAAAAAGAAAAAAGAAAACCAACTTACTTATCATCCAGAGCTTTCCCTATCCTTAGCACTAGCCATGCCCTCATAGCCTCAGTGGCCCAGCTCACCTCCCCCAGCATCCTGGGGTTCCTTTACACAGCCAGGCTGGACCACAAGACAGTGCTGCTCTTTCCTCTGTCAGAAACTCACCCCATGACTCCCACACTTCTCTAGTTCCTCATCTTGTCACTTCCTCAGGAACACTCTCCGTGTGTCAGGGACTTTGCCTCTGTGGGCCTGTTGAGGAGAGTCTAGGCAGCCTGGGCTCCCATGGCTGCCCTGTCTCAGACAACTATTCTAGGAAGCTCTTGGCCAATCTTCACACCTCTTTCTCTGAGAGGCTAATAATGGCATTGCCTGTGAGAGCTGAAGGCAGGTGACAAAGGAGTGAGGCCGGCTGACCCAGACAAGTTCAGGCTGGGCTGGGGAGATGGAAGGGAAGCTGAACACAGCTGGGGGCAGTGGTCTTCCTGATCCACAGCTGGATTCTGAGTCACCAGCAAGTCCTCAACCTAGTGAGACTAACCTCAGGTTTCTGTAGGCTGCCAAACTAAGCCACTCTAGTGACCTCATTCCACCTCAAGGACCATGTTATTTATTGAGTATTTATTCTAGGTCACCTATCAGGTACCTGTCTATGTCATTTATCAAGTACATGATAGGTCTGGGTTGGTCCAGGTTTGGGATGTAAGTTGCCTTTTTTTTTTTCAGGTGGAGTTACAACCACCTGTACCAGAAACCCAAGAACATAGACTATGGAGGCCAAGGCTCCAATCCCGACCTACTGGGTTGACCCAGGCCCCAGACAGACCCAGGAACCTGCATTTTTACTGTGCATACTGCGGTGGTCAGTGAGGTCAGAGAACGATTGCTTCCTGGCAGAGACGGACAAGGAAATACTTACAGTGTAATGTAGCCAGAGATGAGGCAGGCAAAGGGGGTGAACTGTCAGGGAACACTGGAGCCCCCTGGGTTTTCTGTTTATTTTGTTTTGTTTTGTTTTTGAGGCATCCCAGAGTGACCTTGAACTCACAGAGATCCTCCTGCTTCTGTGGAGGCCCTTCTCTTAACCTTGGGAGCCTGTAAGTATGAACTGACAAGCCAGCCTGGGCCAGGAAATGGGGCCGGAATGTGTGCCCATTCCAAGCAGAGGAACTACACAGGTAAAGGCTTGGAGGCAGAATTCCTGGCCTAGACTGTGAGTGGGAGGTGTGGCTGTTTCAAGAATGTTTTGGGGAAAACAGAGAAGGGAAGATGGAACATCTGGACTTACTGAAAATGTTCCCAAGTGGCCTCACTTCATAGCGTAGTTGATGGAACCAGTAGCATTCCAGCTAAGATGCCTAGTATGTGCTCAGGAGTTAGGACCCATAATCTTTTAACAAAAAGGCTCCTTTGCAGAAATGTGCTTCCTGTATGTCAGTAAAAGACAGAAAAAAAAAAAATCGCTCTAGGTCTTTGGCCTCAATTTACGTTTATGGACAGGAAGCCAGAACCTGAAAGGGTGAGGGAAAATGATGCTAAGGCAAGCCTGGGATTCATAATGACACACTAATTTTTGTTTTCAAAGTGGGTCGATTCAGACCCGGTGGTGCTGAGGCTCCTTTTCCATCGTGCTCAGGGTTGCGGGAAGCCTTTACTCTGGGAGCAGGTGCCAGCCGAACCAAAGCTCCCACCAAAGTACAACACGCCCCCCGAGATAGCGCCTGATTGGCTCGCCCTGTCCACACTCCGAGCCAGGCTTACCTTTTGATTGGCTGTTCTGCACTCTGTCCTGCGATGGAACCCCCCGTTCTCCTGATTGGCTAGACAACTACCTGCGCTCACCCGGGATTGGACACTGGCAAAGCTGCGAGGGTCCCCGCTCTCTGATTCGCCGCGAGGCCCAGCCTCACGGCCTGCACACTGAATGGCTGCGCCACTACCTGCGATCGGCCTCGGATTGGGTGCGTGGCGCCTCCCCGGCGTGATAGGTCAGGACCACCGCCCCCCTTGCTCCCCATTGGTCGCTCGGCGAAGCCCGGTCTCCGGGTAAGATGGCAGCGGACGGACAGTGCTCGCTCCCCGCTTCATGGCGGCCGGTGACCCTCACCCACGTCGAATACCCTGCAGGTAAGAGGCGGCCCCGGTCTCGAGGACGTTCTCCGGGAGCCGGCGCCTCAGCCCCGGGCGCTCGGGGCCGCGTGGGCCGGCGTGGGGGCGCCGAAGGACCGCGGTGGGAACTGTCAAACAGCGAGCCATGGAGGGGCTCGGCCGGCGCGCGCGCCGCGCAGGCGCAGTGAGGCGGCGATGAGCTGGGCGAAATTGTGAGCCGCTCGCTGATGCACTCTGCGGCTGCGCGGCCAAGTCGCTCTCCGGGGTCCCGGGGTGCTGGTGGGGCTGTCCTGGGCCAGAGGTCTGGGTGGGGCGGGCAAAGATCTGGTCCTGGACCTTGTCCCTGGTGCCCCGCCCTCCCCTGAGCCAGAGAGGCCGCACTCCTGCTCGGGCGTGCAGGGAGTGCCAGTTTGCTTCACTATGCGGAGGGCTGCTTGCTGGAGAAAGCTCTCTGTTGCAGGGAGTGTACAAGTCTAGGCCAGGTTTGGGAGGATTTGCGGCGCCACGCCCTGAGCAGCGGGGCAGAGGCTAGTCGCCAAGGGGGCACACAGCCCCCGGGAGCTTGACTTGCAAGAGCTTCCATCCGACACGCCTCTGGGAGTGCCCGCCTCTCTAGTGGGAAGGTCCATTAGCCACGGTTCTGAAGTTCCGGCTCCGTAGAGTGGTGCAGAGCCTAGGCCTTGGGGTGAGACGTTTCCGGGCTTCAGGGCAGGCACCACCATTCCAGTCACTCCATCTTCCTAAGGGGCTCTAAGTACAGTGTCTCCTTTCTGCAGTGGCGTGTGAATCAAATGACCACAGGCCTGAGAGGTGCTGGGCACAGGGCCTAGCCCACAGTGAACACCCAGTAAATACCTGAAGTTTCCATCTCCAGCTTGTTAGCACCCTCCCTGGATGGATGTTTGTTGCTGAGCAGCTGGGGGCTCCTTGCTGACCTCTGGCTGTCCAGGAAGGGAGAGCTTGGTTCTGCTGAGAGCACAGGGCCACGGGCAGGGAGAACTTGGCCTCTGGGTGTTGTGGGTTAGACTTAAGGTGTGGCAATCCTACCCAGCGTTGGGCCCTGTCCAAGTGCCTGTTCACCATGCATCCATCCACTCATTCATTCATTCTGCACCCCCTTAGCATCTCCCAAGGGCTAGGCCTTGAGCCGCCTCTGGGTTTGGAATGGTGAAGTGTCTGCACTCTTGCTCTGTGGAAAGTCTCTGCTCCAGAGGAGGGAAACCAGGCCTGGAGAAGGGGAGAGGCTTGACCGAGGCCTCCACACCTTCACCTTCCTGACTTTCCCTCCCTGGCTTCAGAGTAGCTTCTTGGAGGGTTCATGACCTTACAGGTGAGAAGGCACCTGCCGCTGAGAAAGAACACCATGACATATACAGGCTGTGTGTGACGTGGGACCCGGTTGAGCCTGGGGGCATCTGGTGAAGTCCAGTCCCCTGGATACCCTTCTGGAACCCCTGCACTACATATCCCTCAGTATACTGAACATGCTCCTTTTGTCTGTCTGACATGGTGTCATACGTTACTCCACTCGGAGGACAGCGGGGCGCAGAGACTTTGCCACCACCCTCAGGGGACCTGAAGTATAAGAGGACAAAGAGAGGCGCCCATCCCACAGCTACCACGAACCACGGCCCAGTCACAGGTCTCCCATCAGTCAGGCTGAGAGTTTTGTGATGGTCTCATCCGTGGGATTTGTAGCGATGCTGGGTCTTGGCTTCTGTTTGTTGAATTCACCTAGGCAGTACCCCAGGTGGGGGAAGCCACGTGTGCACGGGTCCAGAAGTAGGACAGTACAGTGTGTTCAGGGAGCTGGAGAGCCGTCCCTGCAACTGGAGCAGTGGGTGGGAGGGAAGTGGGCCAGGACTACACGGAGCCTGGTAAGCAGGGCCTAAGGAAACACTTCCCAAGGATGGGGGGTGTGGAGCAGAGAGTTGAGGCCAGAGTCCCTAGCAATATGTACAGGGAAGCCTGAGGGGCTTGCTTGCTGTAAGACAACCTGAGGAATTGGCCAAAGGTTCAGGGGCCCGAGCCATGCCCTGTCCTCCTAGTGAGCAGTTATCAGTGGAGTTGAGAGAGTCAGAACTTCGGGGCTGGGCAGATATGGGCTCAGAAAAGGGCGGGCACTCACTCACTCAGTGTTCCTTAGTGAGACTGTGGCAACATCAGCATCTGAACCTGGTTACTGGGCAACTCCCTCAGTTGTTCCTGGGAGGATCAGATAAGGTGTATGTGCACCTATCTCTTAGGCCTGGGATCTGCCCTCTGCCCTCTATGGGCACCTGCCTGCTTGTGTAAGGCCAGGCTGCTGGTGTGGGCTGTTTCCCATACTGGGTTTCCCCAGCCTCTGGGAGCACCACTGTGGGAATGTCCTGTGTGCCAGAGACCATGCTGGGCATCTTACATCGTTTCTCACAGCTGTGGGAAAGATACTACTACCCCCACCCTAGAGGAGAGAGTGTGGAGGTCTAGGGAGGTAAAGTCCTTACCTGAGTTCCTGCAAGCAGCTCAAGCTGCTACAGGAAGTGAATGGTGGCTTCTGACCCCAGAGTAGCTTCTTAGTCACCACCTTGTCTCTGTGGTGAGTGGCCTTTGGAGCCCTGCCTGTGAGCAAGGGAACAACATGACTCTAAACTCCAGCTTCTGTGTCTCAGAGAGGCCAGTGGTCCTCACTGCCTCCATGCAGGCTTTGGTGGAAGGGAAAAGCCAGCACCTTGCCTGTGGAGAAGTTTTGAGAAACTGCTAACTGTTGTGGGTGGCCACGTTGAGTGTGGCTCTGTATCTGGTGTCTGGAAGAGCACAGACTTCTCCAGAGGCCCCACCCCACGGGCAGCCCAGAGCTGTGCGGCATCCGATCTTGGGATTCAGACTTCTCCTCTCCCAGAGCAATGGCTACAGTATCTAGACCAGGCCAGAGACTGGGGTTCATCCGGGCCCCACCTCTCTCTGGTTATGCTACTTAAGCAAGTACATAACCATGCTGAGACTTAGTTCCTTCTGTAAAATGGGGACAAAGAGGCACCTTCTCAAAACTCATGGTGTGTAGACTTTTGTGGTTGGTAGTGCACCCTTACAGCTGTGGGGGAGTTGGTACATCAACTGGGTGTCCATGGCTGTGGCTCTGGACCTCCTGTTTTTTTTAGGCCCTGTTGACTTTCAGACCCCTCTTCTGATGCTCATGCCCTTGTCTCATCCTGCCCCTACAGGTGATCTCTCTGGCCACCTCCTTGCCTACCTGAGCCTCAGCCCTATTTTTGTTATTGTTGGTTTTGTGACCCTCATCATATTCAAGCGGGAGCTACACACGGTGAGTTCTGGTCCCACGTTGCCCAGAACCCTCCTTCGGTCTACAGAGCCTTACCCTGCAAAGCCTGTAGGGTCTCCTGGCTGGGTCTAGGTTGTTCACTCATTGGTTTAGGCTGTCCATTCAGAGGCCACAGTCATGGGGACTAGGTAGAGGCCAGCAGGTATGCAGAGGCCCAACTGAGTGCCCATCTTTCCCAGCAGATTTCATTCCTCGGGGGCCTGGCACTGAATGAAGGTGTCAACTGGCTGATCAAACACGTCATCCAGGAGCCTCGGCCCTGTGGAGGTAGGGCTGGGACTTTAGGACCCAGGGCTTCATGTTGGACATTATGAGGAAGCCCATGTCCTCCCATGATGCCGTTCTTTTTTCCTCCCCCAGGCCCACACACGGCAGTGGGCACTAAGTACGGGATGCCCTCCAGCCATTCCCAGTTTATGTGGTTCTTCTCCGTCTATTCCTTCCTTTTCCTGTATTTAAGGTGAGCTTCTGCAACCCTCCCCCTCCCCCACTCGTGGTAGCTATGCTCTGCTGGGACCTGCTGCACTAGGATTTTGGATGGGACCAAGGGCTACTGGGAGGCCCTTATTCAGGCTGTGGGTTGAGACTGTGTGATGCACCTCTTTTTCCAGAATGCATCAAACAAATAACGCCAGGTTCTTGGACTTGCTGTGGAGGCATGTGCTCACCCTAGGGCTCCTCACCGCAGCCTTTCTCGTCTCCTATAGCAGGTATGGGGAGGAGGAGCCCCACCCTGCAGCCTGCCCATCTGGGGTCCCGCTAGGATCTGGGTGTCTTTTGAACAGTCCCTGTGGACCCTGGGCCCAGAGACTGGATGGTAGGACTGGGAAAGGAACATGGTCTCTAATTTGAACAGACAGGGCTCTAGCTGCTCTTGCTAATATAGCAGGCTAAGCCCACAGTTGTAACAGCAGCTTCTTGTATTAGCCATTTGTCCCCAGCTTCCTGGCCGGGTGGGGATGGTGGTGGGGGGCCTCCAGTGTAAGAGCTGGCCAGGAAGGAAGCAAATCTGGAGATGGGCTGCTCCAGCATCCTTACTGCCTCTGGAAGTGCCTCTTCTGTGTGTGTCCTCACATCTGCACACACAGGGTCCTGACGAACTGGCCCTGGGGCATGGGGTATTGTACAAGCCTGTCTCTGGTTGTCTCTCATGAATTTCCCTTCTGGCCTTGTCATAGGGTCTACCTGCTGTACCACACCTGGAGTCAGGTACTCTATGGGGGTATTGCTGGAAGCCTCATGGCCATCGCTTGGTTCATCTTCACCCAGGAAGTTCTCACCCCACTGTTCCCCAGGATAGCAGCCTGGTAACCAATCCCCATCCCTTCCCAGCACTGTGTCCCTGCCCCCTACAGGTATGACCATCTTTGGAGAGCCTAGTGTCCTGGGTGGCCCAGTGTCTGGGCCTCTGGTGGCATGAGGCTGTGGTGCCCACTCTGCTGGCTACCACCTTCCCCAGGGGCTTAGGGGTATCTCAGGCTCAGCAGCCAGAGTGCCATCCTTTGTCCTTGCTTCAGCACTTAGAGACTTAGAAGGCAGCCAGAGTCTCGGGGAGCAGTGGAGGAGGCTGGAGGGGCCCTAGGAACTGTTGGGACATCTGGCTTGCTGGTAGACTCATGCCCTCACCATGGCCCTGGCTTTTGGGTATCTGTCTCTCCAGGCCCATCTCCGAGTTTTTCCTCATCCGGGACACGAGCCTCATTCCCAATGTGCTCTGGTTTGAGTACACAGTAACCAGGGCAGAAGCCAGGTGAGTTCAGGGGACAGTAGTCAACACTGCCCCCCATTTGGAAGGCTCCTCCAAAGCTAGATGCTTGCTTCCATTTCTGACATTGAATTCTGTGCTCCAGTTTTTCAGATGGGAAAAGTGAGCTGAGAGAGAAGGAAGTCAGCTGCCTGAGCTCTGTGTGTTGGGGGTGAGGGGGCCGGTGGCAAACTGCTGGCCCAGTGTATACCTTTACCCTCCACAGCACAGACACAGAGAGCTGGGCCTTGGGGTTTTCAGGAGTGTGGCCATCCTCAGAACTGTGTAGCTTTCTGTTAGCTGGGTAAGCTGAGGCACACTGAGCTGGGGGCCATCTTGAAGCCAAGTGCAAGTTAGGGCAAAGCTGGACTTTGGCGTCTCCTGGCTCATGCTCTTCTACTCAGCTCTTCCTCAATCTGGGGTGGAGTTCTTCAGGGGTGGGGGAAGGCCAGCCTCTCCCTAAGCTCTGAGGGGAGCTGAGGCAGGCCAGGCTCCAGAGGATGCCTGGAAGATTTTCCAGGAGGGGTAACAGGCCATTGAGCCGCTCGGAGCAGGGTGGGTGTCCAGCAGGAGATGTGTTAGGACATCAAGGTCCACATTATCCTAATGAGCTTAAGGGCAAAGCCTCGGATCCATGAGGAAAGGGGATTTGAGGGTTAGGGCAGGGCAATCCCATTAGTGACAGAAAGGCCCCAGATGCCTTGGGCTCAGCTCTCCACCTGGCTCCCAGAGTAGCCAGCCCTGCTTGGCCCTGCTCAGCCAGCTGCCACCTGCCTTCATTCTCTATCTCTCCCTGGCACCTGCTCCACGTCAGGCTGTGTGCAGGGGCTGAGCACAGTGACACAGCCATGCTCTCACCCTCCTGGTACTCAAAGCAGCAGGGGTCCGTGAGGACGGAAGAGCCAGCCCATGTGATCCACACTAAGGAGCGCAGCTCAGAGGCTTAGGGAGTGAGTGACAGGCTCCCAGAGGAGAGCGGGCCAGTCCTGAGTGATACAAATGAGCAGGCCTTTCACAGCAGGGCTTACCGAGAGGCGTCTGAGAAGAGGAACCGCGGGCATGAAGCTCTTAAGACAGACAGATTGGTGTGCAAGAACCTGGGGTGTGAGCTGGAGGGCTTGGGCCATCACACCAGGACCCTGTGGGCCACGGTTAGCTTTCTAGTTCTACAGGTGCCTTACACAGCACTGTTGCTTCTGAGCCTCAGCTAGCCCCTCTAGAGAACAGCAGTGATTCCTCCTGTGCCCCTCCAAGTAGGCGCTCCCATACCAGGCAGCCCCCTTCAGTGTGCCTTCCTCTGCTTGCATCCTCCACCTTTCTGTAGCTGCTTTGGCGGTAGCAGCCGAACTCCCCACAATTAGTCAGGCCCAGACAAGTACCACTGACCTTTCTTGTCTTGTCCCAGCCCCATCTTGCCATCCCCTGCTCACTTCCTGAGCTCCAAACCTGGGTCATCATGATACAGCCCAGCCTGATGCTGGCCCTCCTCAGGTTCCAGTCCATGGCAGGAGCTCTGGTTGGCCTGGCCCTGGTCAGGGTGGCTGTGGTTGGGCATCTGCCTGTCTCGCTGAGACTGAGCAGGTAGAGAGGATAGCTATAGGCCACTCAACACCAGGCACCCCCACATAGAAATCATCCCCATTTTGCAGGAACAGACAACGCAAGCTGGGGACCAAGCTGCAGTGACTGGTGGGCGTGGCTGGGTCAAGCCCCCGAATCTGGCCTGCGCCATACCTCGCAGGATGGACAGGATGATGGACGGAGGGGTGAAGCAGAGACCTCGACAGACCCAAGTCACCAAGTGGAGCCTTTTTTTTTTCTTATTTTAATTTTAATGGACATGGTGGACCAAAGGGCTGAGTCAGGCCCTCAGCGAGGACCCTGGGAGGGCCTGCTGTCTGTGGGTCACATGGCCAGAGACCCTGGCTCTGCTGCTGCCAGCTCCTGACTGGGTGGAAAGTGCTCTTGGCATGGGCCCTAGGTTGGGTAGAGCACGGGGGCTTGGTCCTCTGGTCTTGAGACCAGGAACTCCAGGTGGTGGAGTGCACACTATTTATTTTTGGGGACTGTGGAGTTCAGGCTGAAGAGGCTGCTCCATGGTGGCTGCCCTGTGTACAAAGGGGCCCCGGTCAGCTCCCAGGCCCTGTGCCCTGAGCTGGGGCGGCCTGCCTCCTGTTGGACCTGAGTGGAGACTGGGGCCTGGGGCCCATGAGTGAGGCCTCCCCTGCCCTCTCTGCCCCCACTCCAGAACCTTGTCAGTGTTTCCTTGCCTGGGGGCAGGGCCCAGGGCGAGCACCTGTCCGTCTGTCGGCTGCTGTCATTGCGTTCTTCCCTAGACCCACCCAACATCACAAGGGCTTTCTCTGGTCCTCTATCCCTTCCCGACAAAAGAGCCTGCACATAGGGGTGAGCACACCCAAGCGTTTACAGCTCCTTTTGTCTGGCCATCCAGTAGCAGTCTGTCTGTCTTCATCCCCACTTGAACAAACAGAGGAACCAGGAGCTAGGATTCTGGCAGTGTGGCAGTGCTGACACCCTCCCCCATCAGCTGTCCTGTGTGCTCTGGATCTGTCCCTGTCCTTCCTGGCCTGCCCTGGAGGCTGCCTGGGTGTGGGCTCTCCGACCCCCACCTGCCCGGCTGCAAGGAGTCCCTCTTAGGGCCTCTCTCCGAGTCGGCCTGCCACAGTTGTGGAGATGCTTCCAGAACTGCAGCAGCCCCTGGGGACTGGGTTCGAACCCTCCCTCCCCCTTTCTCCGTGGAGGTCCTAACCTGCTGCTGAAGCACAAGTGTTTGGTGCTTTCCTTTCGTGTTAAAGGCCGTGTCTAAGCCCCTCGAGACGCCAGGGCCAGGGCTGGTTTCTAGGGAGGTAGTCAGTCACATTCCCTCCCCTTCCCCTAGGATTTTTATTTTTGACTTTTTGCTTGAGACAAGCCAAGTGTGAGGTGGTTTAAGAAAATAAAATTGTTTACTATTGTTTTAAAATAAAATCTGAAACTCTGGAGGCTGAGTACACATTAACTGAGCTCAGGAGAGGAGGCTGTGACAGCTGGGGCACAGGTGGTCCTCTGAAGCCACAGCATTTCCAGGGGACTTAGTCCCCGCGAGCCCCCAAAGTGAGGGTTTGAGTGACCTCAACATCTGCCACAGGAGCTTGCCAGCCTCTGGGGTCTGCCACTCGTGTCTCCGCTCCTGTCAGACGCCCTCCCTGACTGGTAGAGGCTAGCCCTGGCCAGCTTTTCCTCCACAGAAAGGAAAAGTCCTGAGGACTGGGGAGTCTCTGCCCTTCACAGGGGTTCCATGGTCCACTCACTTGTGCTGTCTGCCTTGGCAGAGATGCCTGTCCGCCAAGCTGGTGGCCAGAGGCCTTGCAGGACTGAGTGAGCACAGGCTGGCCCGAAGCAGGTAGTTTCCTCTCCTGGCAGGTTATGCCAAGGTACACAGCCACACCCTCTGGGTGAGGGTACATGGGAGGTCACCGTGTTCCTCACGTGGTAGGAAGCTGGGTGAAGCACTCGGGTGGGGGAGGGTAGAATCTTGACAGGTATGACTGCTGACTAGTAGTGACCCCAGGAAAAGGAATGTATCTTGGACTTTAAATTATTTTTTGTTTTTGATTTTTCGAGACAGAGTTTCTCTGTGTAGCTTTGGAGCCTGTCCTGGAACTCACTCTGTGGACCAGGCTGGCCTTGAACTCTCAGAGATCTGCCTGCCTCTGCCTCCCGAGTGCTGGGATTAAAGGCATGCGCCACCACTGCCCAGCTTGGACTTCAAATTATTGTCACAGTCTTAAGTTACAGTGAGCCCTGCCTGAACGGGGGCCTAGTCAGAACCCAAGGCCACATCCGATACAGTTCCTTTCTGCATCCCGACTGCTGTAGGACAGCTGATGGGTGTGTGAGGCCGGGCTGAGTTGAGCTTCAGGACCTTCTCAGACCTCTCCTGGCCTGAAGATGACTCATGTACCCTTGGGAGCCTGCCATTTAGTAGCATGGTGGCATTAGCTCCTCTGAACAGGTTTTGTGTGAAGACTAGTACATGCCACAGGCCCTGCCAGGTGACCACACAGGTCGGTCAAGCCATGAAGCACTTCCTTCACAGATGTGACAGCCTCCCAGGCCCACATTCCAAGCACATGTGTAGCCAGGGACTTGGGCAGGTGTCAGGGTTGAGGACAGTACATTGCTTCCCTAGCCCACCTCCAGTGAGCATTTGCCTCTGATGACAGGGCCCTGCTTGCTTACCCCTCCTGTTGAGTTCGGTGCAGCTTTCCGATCTGCAGCCCCCACTATGCATGGACTGGAGAAGCCGGGATAGTAGGGGGTGCTGTAGAAACAGACCCACTAGGGTCTGGCCCCATCCCTGGCTCAGCACCAAGTTTGGGGCTGGTCCTCTGAGCCCTGCTTGAGGACTTCTCTTGGCTTCCCCGGGAGCATGCTGGCCCATTGGCTATTTGAACAGCAGCTCTCGGAACCAGCTAGAGGATGGCCATGCTGGGCATCTGTCCTCTACTTGCCCCTCAGTGGAAACTGTCTTCACCAGCACTTCTTGCCTTTATTGATCACCTGGATAGTCACATTATGTAACCATGAATGTAGTTCTGGAATCAAGCTGAATGGAAGCAAGAAGGCTGGGGCAAGAGTCACCAGAAAGAGCGTGGCAGCTGGGAGATGGCACCTTGAGGTGGAGTGATGGAGGCGAGGCCTCCGGTGTCCCTTTGGCTACAAAGACTTGACCCTCAGCCTCGGGGAGGCTGAGAGCCACTCAGCGCTAGATAACCCTGACTCCTGGTCCTTGGGCGTTTATGGATGAAGACAGATTTCAGCTGGGCTGTGGAGACGGTAGCTATTGGTCAGGGCTGAGGAAAGGAACTCTTCACGGCTCCTGCTGTGAGGAGGGATGGGCTAGACTGGTTCCCTTCCCTGGGACTCATGTTGGTGGATGACATGTTGAGGACCTAGGCCTTAGTCTTGTTCAGCCTCTGAACTCAACTCTGGCATTGGGCTATGGCAGGTGCTGAGGACAGGACCTGAGAGGCACTTGGCTTGGACCTTGGGGCCCTGCTAGAGACTTTGCCTGGCTCAGTGAAATTGGAGGGCACAGGAGCCAAGGAACTGAGCCATGGCAGGTGTCCATCCCAAAGAGGGCTTGGCTGTGGTGCTGGCAGGCCCTGGCCTGGGCTCAGAGCTTGGCCCTGGGGTGGTTCTGCAGGAGAGTGCGCATGTCCAGCAGAGCCTTCTCCAAGTAGTGAGACATGCGCGCAGCATTGGTCTCCGCACAGCTGTTGTAGGCCGACACGGAAAAGTTGACGTGGGCCTCCATGGGGTTGTAGCAGATGCCATAACCATCTGGGACCACCGGTCCGAAGAACATGACGCAGTCTGTCTTGGCAGGCACCTAGGGACAGCAGGTTCAAAGCGTTCATCCCCAGGCCTGCGGTGGCCCTCCTTCTCCTTGGTGTACCAGTCTGCCTCTCTGCATCCACTCCTCCCTTGCTCTTTCCCTTTCTCCGTGGGGTGAGCCTTCCTTCACATTCCTGGAAGCACCACCTGGAGGGAGCGGTGGTGCTCCCTGTGCACTCCTCTGGCCCCTAGCACCACCCTGGGGCCATCACTGCCTGTGCTCCATAGATACTGGGAGCTTCCTGGGACGACGGCTTGTCCCCAGCTGTGTCCCAGCACCCAGCTCATGTTAGTTGGTACTGATCAGGTAGTCATTTACAAACGGCCATGAAAGAGTGGAAGAGAGTCTCTTAAGAGGCCTGAGCCTTCCCATCTTGTCACGGCAGTGCCTACCCTGAGCTCCTGCTTGGGAACTCAGTTGTTTTGGCAGTGAGCCTGTGGTGACCTGTGTGGGCCACATTACCCCTAAGGTCCAGCTGCAGTGGGTTCTAAAGATCATTTATATTGTATATATGTGTATGCTCCTGCCAGTGGGTGCTAGTCCCCCTACCCAGGGGCACCCGAGGCGGCGGCCTACCTGGCTGGTAGAAAGGTTGAAGTGCATAGCAATGGCATAGGACGTGTCCATGAAGATGTCGGGCATGCTCACCAGGTCCTCAATGGCTTGCAGCTTCAGTCCCAGCAGGTGCCGGTCAAAGCCCTCTCCTCGGATGGCCTGTGGGTGGGGAACTGTAAGGGCAGGTGCTGCAGGGTCACATCCCTGCCCTCCTCAGGGGTCTGTGGCAGCGCTGCCCCTTCCATAAGCTCTCACCAAGTGGTGGCGGCGGCGCACGCCTTTATTCCCAGCACTCGGGAGGCAGAGGCAGGTGGTTCTGTGAGTTCGAGGCCAGCCTGATCTACAGAGCGAGTCCAGGACAGCCAGGACTACACAGAGAAACCATCTCGAAACCCAAAAACCAAAGCAAACCAAAAACCCAACGAAACATGAGCTCTGGGAATGAGTGGTGCAGTGAGGGCTAGACAGTGTTAGCTGTAAGATGAGCAGTGTCTGCATATGCCATGTACAAGGTCAGGGCCTGTACAGGCTGTGGAATAGACGTGTCTGTGCATGTGGGTAATACGGAGCAGTGTGCCCTTCATATGACAGGTAGTATCTGTGCATGCCTTGTAGAATGGGCGCACTGTGCCTGCTGATGCCCAGACCACCACCTCCCTGGCTGTAGCATTGGCTGCTGGAGAACAGGGGAGATGCCATCTGTTGGGTCATCAGGGAGAATGCACAACACAAGATCTGACGGCATGTGCTCAATTTGATCACGGAACTGGGAGCAGGGCAGTGGCTAGGTTGACCCTGGTTTCACCAACTTCAAATGGTGACAATTAATTTTTAAATTTATTTTTATTTTGTGTGCATTAGTGTTTTATCTGCATGTATGTCTGTGTGAGAGTGTTGGATTCTGGAGTTGCAGACAGTTGTGAGCTGACATGTGGGTGCTGGGAATTAAACCCAGGTCCTCTGGAAGATCAGTCAGTGCTCTTAACCACTGAGCCATCTCTTCAGCCTGACAATATTAATTTAAAATGGACAGAGTCCCAGGGGCTTCAGAGCTCTGGGAAGAGGCAGTTCTTACCAGGAATGGACAGGAAGATGGACAGGCAGGCAGGGGTGGTAATGGACAATAAGGAAGGAGAGTGGGGCTCACTCACTCGGTCAGTGTAGGCTCTGTGGGCCTGCACGGCCTTCCGAAGCAGCTCCACCTTCTCGAGCTCCTGGGGGGGTGGGGGTGGGAACAGAGGAAGCTGAAGTGTTGTCTCTCCCACATTAGCAGCTCACTCTGCACCCAGCACCACAGCAAGTACTGAGCTCTTCATTCTCTAGAGCCCAGTATTCGCTGGGCTAAGAGTGGGCAGCTGGCTGGCTGGCTTCTCTTTTGAATGGATGGATACATGGTTTTGCCTTGGCTGCCAGAAAAATCAGAACTAAATTCATGGTTCCAGCTTCTGTTAAGTGCCCTTTGCCCACTGTGGGGCTGAAATACCATGGAGGTGCAATCCATTTGCACAGAGAGAGAACAGGAAAGGAAGATGACCCGGTACAGCCTACCCACCCTGTCCCAGACCTCTCACCGGCACATTAGAGTCATCCATGCCTTTGACAAAGGCCAGTGAGTCCATGGAGGCTGAGCGGATAGTGTCAGTGCGGCCCAGGTGAAACATGCGCAGAGAAGCACTTTCATATGTGGCACATGAGTGTCCATAGATCCTGGATGGGAGGTGGGTCTCAGTATGTCCCCTCTCCACAGCAGGCTGCCTGCAACTCCCCTCCCCTCTTCCCCTGTGGGGCAGGTGGTCAGGCAGGGCGCACCTGTAGTATGCCAGCTGCAGGGCTAGCTGGATGAAGGCATCAGGGCTTAGCTTCTCTGACTTGGGGAAGTCCTTTCCAAAGTGATGGAATACCAGCGTCACGATGTCCAGGTCCTGGATCATGCTGGGGTGGATGTGCAGGAGGCACGGGTGAGAAGCAGGCACCTGGCAGCCTTGCGGCTGGCCCTCCCCTAACAAGACCCAGCATGCACTCACATGCTGATGTTCTGCTTGGCTTTCTCAATGTCATTCTTGATCTCAGGGGTTATGTTGAACCGCAGCTTCTTGGGCATGGGCAAGGGCACCATAGGAGACCGCACAAGGTCAGGCTTTTTCCTGCATGGGAGAGGGGGCTTCAGGCTCATGCTGGTGTCACTGAAGCCCGAGTGTTCCTGGGATTGAGGTGGAGAAGATGAGTTCCTGAAGCTAGGGGGTAGGAGGTTCACAGACCATAGGTTAGCTCTTGTGAAACTGATTTCACTCCAGCTTTCAAGATGCCAGATAGAAGCCAGGTGTGCTGGCATACCTAGTGTCCCTGCTCAGGAGGCAGAGGCAGGTGGATCTCTGTGAGTTTGAGGCCAGCCTGGATCATAAGCGAGTTCCAGGACAACCATGCTATAGGGAGACCCTGTTTTTCTTCTTTCTTTTTGAACAGGGTTTCTCTGTACGGTCCTGGCTGTCCTGGAACTCGCTCTGTAGACCAGGCTGGCCTTGAACTCAGAGATCCACCTGCCCCTGCCTCCCAGGTACTGGGATTAAAGGTGTGTGCTACCACACCTGGTGTGCTCTGCTCTTCTAGAGGTTCTGAGTTCAATTCCCAGCAATCACCTGGCATCTCACAACCATCTATAATGGGATCCAATGTCCTTTTTTGGTGTGCAGAAAAAGCACCTATATACATAAAATACATAAACAAACCTTAAAAAAATATTCTAAACTGGGTGGTGGTGATGCACACCTTTAATCCTAGCACTCTGGAAGCAGAGGCAGGCAGATCTCTGAGTTTGAGACCAGCCTGGTTTACAGAGCGAGTTCCAGAATGGCCAGGGCTACACAGAGAAACCCTGTCTCTCTTTTTTTTTTTTTGAGACAGGGTTTCTCTGTGTAGTTTTGGTGCCTATCCTGGGTCTCCCTCTGTAGACCAGGCTGGCCTCGAACTCACAGAGATCCGCCTTGGTTCTGCTTCCCAAGTGCTGGGATTAAAGGTGTGCACACCACCACCTGACTTGAGAAACCCTATCTTAAAAAAAAAACAAAAAAAAGGGGGGGCGGGCTGGAGAGATGGCTCAGTGGTTAAGAGCACTGGCTACTCTTCCAGAGGACCCAGGTTCAATTCCCAGTACCCACATGGCAGCTCACAACTGTCTGTAACTCCTGTTCTAGGGGATCTGATACTCTCACACAGACATACATGCATATAAAACACCAATGTACATAAAGTATAAAATTATATTTAAAAAATCTTCTAAAAGACAGAGATGGACAGATCTGACTTGACTCTGGTGCAAATGAGAGTGATATACCTCCACAGGCTAGGTCTGTCACCTGCATACCACCTGCCACCAGGAATTGGGGTATGAAGCTGAAACCATACTCACGTATACTCCATGACATGGTCCACAAGAGCGACAATGGGGGGCCCTTCTGCCGCTGCATGCTCATAAACCAGCCCACAGGATCCATCTTCTGCCACAATGAACTGTGGGTGAGAGAGGACCTGTCCTATGAGCCCTAGATCCTGGAGGGTGGCTCTCCCAGGGAGGGTCCCTGAAGCCATGCCAGTCCCTGTGCTGACCCACTCAGCATATTTGGAAGCAGGTCCTCAGAAGCCCCGCCCCGCCCCGCCCCGACAGCAGTTCTGCTGTACCTGTGTTATGAGCACAGCGGAAGTCACACCCAGACTGCACCACTCTGACTGACCCAGACCGGCTCTGACTCGCTCAAGGGTTATGCTGGGGGTGTCAGTGGCACGCAGGCCTGGTAATGACAGGCTGGTTGCCTGGTAATTACAGCAGCATCCAGCCTCCTTTACAAGCAGGAGGCTGGGCCTAAGGAGGGTGGAAAGTCTAGAGCCTGAGTGGACCAAGCTTCGCGGCCCTCCGGTCCGCACTTGCCTGCAGTGTCTTGTCGAACCAGCGGTTGCCACTGTTGAGCTTGCTGCCACCGCCGTGGAGCATCTGGCCGGCGACATGGTTGCGGTAGACATCGTCCGAGACTCTGGGCACTGGCTTGTCCAGGCACACAGTGAAGATGCTCTTCTGAATGGAGCTCACCGACTCCCGGTTTACTTTGTCTATGGAGTTGGGGAGATGGAAGGAGCCTCAGAGCCTGCTGTCTCCTGCCCTGAGCTCTTCTTGCCTCATACACCTCCGACCACCTTTGGGGCCATGCTTGGAGTTCAAATGTATGCTCAGAGCTTTGCTCTCAACAAAGCTCTACAGGTATCCCCCGTACTTCAAAGGGCAGGGCCCAATACCTGGCACACTACAGACACAGAAAGGCAGAAGGCCAGGGTCCCATGGAGAGCTGGTGTGACAGTCAGGGATCTAATACCAGCAATCTCTGACAGTGTCCATGGCCAGTATGGGATTTGATGGGAGTGGTTCTGGGAGCAGAGAGAATATGGAGAAGGGCACTTCAGCCAGAACACTTGTCTGAATCCAACTTGCTACTTCACAGGAAGAAACTACCCTCACCAACCTGAGCCTTGGTATTCTCATCTCTAAAATGGGCCAGTAACACCTGCTCCAAATTGAGAGGGTCAATGAAACAGTGGCTGCCAAGCCTCATGTTGGATCTATCTGGTGTGTAAGGAAGCCCTTGCCCTGGAGGCACCTTTGATGAGGGTGTTGTAGGCCTTGGCCCAGGTGTTGCGGTGGTTGGAGGTAAGGATGCCAACGGGCTCTTTGTTAGTTTGCAGTGATGAGTTCCAAATTTTCTCCAGTTGCACAAAGATCTGATCAGAGGTGAAGGGTGTCCCGTCACTGTGGTACACATCCAGCTCGAAGAACTGTGAGGCCCAGACACAGAGGAGAAGGGGTCTGGGTGATCTCAGATCGAGCATACCCACCAGCCCCCGCTGGCCTTGGCTGTGGCGGTCACAATCAGTGCAGCTTAGGGCCAGCGGAGGAGCTAGAGTTTTGCTGGGAGGGCTGGGGCCCCTCAGAGCAGGCAGTGGTGCCCACCTGGTAGTTGTGCACCACGGTTATGTGCATGGGCGGCTTCTTTGTCTTTACGAAATTCACCACGGAGTCCTGCTTAAGGCCCGGCACACGGCAAGAGGACAGGATCTGATAGTACTGGTTCATGCACAGCGGCTTTCCCCCCAGGAACTCGACTGGCAGGGTCTCGCTGTGGGAGGACACAGGGAGGGGCCACTGGGCAAGTGATAGGGAAGAGGCTGGGGTAGACAGACACCTGCAAGCTCTACTTGGAAACTGGGTGAGGCCTTCTCTTTAGCATGAGCAAGAGCCGTTAGGGTTATAAGGAGGTCTTGAGGCCTGTACTTTCTAAGTATTGGGGCCCTGTTGAGTCTCCCACAGACTCCCTCCCTCTCCCTTCCTGAGCTTCAGTTTGCCACAGGCAACTGGGATCCATTTTGGCTGGAATGACAAGGTCACCAGGAGAGCCCTAGGAGATGGAGCAGAAGACTTAAGTGCCCCCCTATCGATGATGACTGTCCTCAACCCTTTCCAAAGCTGGGCCAATAGGAAATGAAAATGACATGGGCCTGCTCAGTGCCCTGGCTGACACACTGGAAGTCCAGGGCTAGAGCCAGGGGCGGCTTTGGTATTAGGCAGATGTGGGCAAGGCGGTCAAGATGGGAGTGGGGCTGCTCACTTGTCAATCATGGACTTGAAATCCAACACACCCTCGATGAGTTTGGCAGCGAACCTAGAGGATGAAGCAGAGATGTGAAACTATGGCCATCCAATGGAGGATGCTGGCACAGGGATGCGTGCTGAGTAGGGGGATGAGTCAAGGTAGCTCCTATGGAATCACTGCTGCCCACTCAGTGTACTGAGGCCTGAGGAGTTCAAGGTGGACCCACAGCAGTGGGAGGCCCTTCTGAGCTTCTTTTCTTTACCTCCAGTGGGAGGGCTGCATCTGCTTCAGAGAAATGCTGGCAAGAGAGGACCTGGAAGGACCCAGGTGCTGCTCAACAGTGGCACACTATGGCTAGATAAAAGGCCAGTGGTGACTGACACCTACCAAGGGCCTGAACCACAGTCTGAAGGGTCTTTTTTTTTTTTTTTTTTTTTTTCGTTTTTTGAGACAGGGTTTCTCTGTGTAGCTTTGTGCCTTTCCTGGATCTCGCTCTGTAGACCAGGCTGGCCTCGAACTCACAAAGATCCACCTGGTTCTGCCTCCCAAGTGCTGGGATTAAAGGTGTGCGCCACCACCGCCTGGCCTGAAGGGTCTTTACGTGGAGATTTGTTCCCTCAGTGAGATGGATAAGGGTCCCCTCCAGGATCCCAGGATCCCTGCTGCTAAGCGCCTCTCTCTTCTGAGCCTATATTCCCATGACACTGTTGTCAACCTGTTCTTCCTCCTTGGATTATCTGGGTTAGGAAGAGGGGTTTCCTGGCTCATACCAACTATTCCCCAATGCCTGAGGCCATCTCTGGTCCCAGTTTGGGCTGGCTGGAGTTCCAGAAGGCACTGGTCCCTTCATCATTTGTGTGTGTGCATTGCTAGAGATGGAACTCGGGGTCTGATGCATGCTAGGCCATCAGCCAACCACTGAGCCACACTTCTTTCTTGCTCTCCCTCCTGGCTTCTGTGTATTCTTGCCCTGGTCTCTTTAAGAGAAGCTGGTGGCAGTAGTGAGTGGCAGACTCCTGAAGATCCCTGCTGCTAGTATTTTTATCTCTGGTAGGACTGGAACAGGGGCCAGGGCAGGTGACATGGCTGAATGTGGAAAAGGGGACTGTGTATAAAGGTCACTCTGTGGCTAGCTAAGAAAAGTGGGAGGGACTCATGGCAAGGTTGGAGGGTGAATGGTTCCAAAGCCTCGCGCTGGGAACCTGGCCTCTTAACTTGAGCTGTGGCCACGGAGAAGGTCCCCTCACTGTTCTGAGCTTCAGTTTCCCGTCTGTAAGACGAGGCTGTGGTGGGAAAAGCACAGGGGTGAGGCCTTCCCAGTTTCCTAGGAAACAGACTGGAGGGCTCTGGAAATGCACAGGGCCCTGACCACTGGCACTGCCCCGCCTTGTGCCAGTCTCAGACACTCACCGCAGCTGCCCCTGCAGATCCACAAAGTCCTGCTTGGGCAGCATCACTCCTGGGCTGGAGCAGATGACCACAGGCTGGCGGTACTGGAGATAGGCCGTCTTCAGCCACCACTCTGACAGCTGGGCAAGGAGCAGAGTTCGTCAGGAGTGGACACGGTCCCGGTGCCCCTTCCTGCCCAGGACTACGGGCCTAGCTGGCCCTGTGTCCTTCGGCCTCTCTGCAGGACAGTCTCCCAGTGAATGCTGAGGTCCACAGTACCCTTCCCTACCTCCTTCTACCCAGCATCTTCCCCTGAGCCTGAGCAAACAGCATTGCCAGAGTGACCTGGGAGAAAAGACTGGAAGCAAACCTGGCCAGGGAATAAACGAGTGAGTAGCTTTTCTCTAGTTTCTTTCTGTGTGTATGTGTGCTGGGGAGGCTTGAACCCAGGACCTCACACACATGCTAGTAATAAGCACGTTTGGTCACTGAACTGTACCCTTCCTTTATCTTTCAAATTTCCTGTCGATGATTATAATACACTAGTAAATAAAAATGTATCCCTGGATATGTAGAATAAAATAGAAGGAATGACGTATAACAACAACAACAATGCCCAGCAAGTGGGTTTCCAACTATCTCTGGTTGGTAATTGTCCGAGGAGCCAGCAACCTGCATCAGGGCCACCCACAGCAACTGGTCCTTATCAGTGGCCTTAGACTAGGAGATGGACACTGGCAGTTGTCAGGGAACTCCCTGAGAGGGTAAGTTACTGTAGTAGTGAGAACATGTGCATGGGTCCTTTTTCTGCCCCATGGATGGGGTCTCGCAGGGGATCAACCATAGGCATGGTGTTATCGATACCCTTTAGCCTTCTGTGCTGATTACAACTTAAAGTTTAGAGTAGGTGTTTGTCCCCAACAACTTCTACTTATCCCCCCTTCATCTTTTATTTATTTATTTATTTATTTGAGACAGAGGTCTCACCATATACCCCCGGCTGGCCTAAAACTGTGCAGATTAGGCTGACCTTGAACTCACAGAGATCTGCACTTCTGTCTCCCATGTGCTAGGCATGTGCCACCATGCTACAACAGATACAACTATCTTTTGGAGGTTGCTAAACCTCTCGAGACCTCAGCCTCTCAGTGTGCTCCACGCCCATCCCAAATAGCAGCAGGATGTATCTACACAGCACACAGACTCTTTGTGGAGTGGCTGGCCTGTGGCATCAGGCCACTCGCCCTGGGCCCTTGGCAAGAGGGAAGGGAAGGTGACTTGCCACAGGCTGGCTAACACATGACTGCCACCTGCTGACTCATAGCCAAGGACTGGACCCCCTCAAGTATCCAGGCCTTCCTGTGCATCTCAGGGTCTTGCTGAGAGCTACTCTGAGAATCTGGACCCTGGTCTGCCTCTCTGGTCGCAGTTCCCTCATCTGTAGGAAGGAGACAGACAAGGGCTCCCTCTCAGCCAGGGGCCTTCACACCGCAGGGATTGCAGGAATCCCTGGCTGCAGTCTAGAAGACAAGGAAGAAGGTGCCCCTTGGTAGCAGCAGCAATGCTTCCAGGGCCCTTGAGTGGAGAGTGGGTGGTCTAACTCTAGCTGGCTCAACAAAGTCGGAAAGCCACTCTACCCCAGAGTCTCTAAGGTCCTGACTTCAAGAGTCGAAGGCCCTGGCTTGCTAAGACTCAGCAAGTGGGGCTGGAGAGATGGCTCAGAGGTTAAGAGCACTGGCTGTTCTTGCAGAGGTCGTGAGTTCAATTCCCAGCAACCACATGGTGGCTCCCAATCATCTGTAATGAGATCTGGCGCCCTCTTCGGGCATGCAGGTAGAACACTGTATACATAATAAATAAATCTTAAAAAAAAAAAAAAAAAAAAAAAAGACTCAGCAAGTGATTGTCCCTAACTACTTCCTACTTCCTACACGGGGCTCCAGACTCCACTGAGGCCTACCCATCCAAGGTACTTCCCATTTCCTATTCCAGTCAGCCCAGATCTGTGGGTCAGTCAGCCCAGATCTGTGGGTCTGCCTCCACAGATTCTGTATCTACAGATCCCACCAGTTCAGGTGGAGAATTTGAAAAACAAAAACTGTATCCATACTGAACACATAGGCCTTTTATTTTTTGATAATTACCCCTTAAACTATACAGGATACTTATTAACCCAACATTTATGCTGTGTTGGATATTACATCATTTGGAAATGACTTAGGGTGTATGGGAGCAGGTATTTAGTGAGACAAAATACTGAACTACCTAAGGGACTTGAACATCTGTAGATATTGGTATCTGTGGGGTCATGGAACCAATGAATACTGAGGGTGACTGCTTTTCACCCAGTTCAGGCTGTCCCCTAGAGCCAGCTTCTTCCTTGGGCTTCATATGAGAACCTTCTTCTCCCCAGTTGCTTTAAAAGGGACCGTCCCACCCTCAGCCCCACTGTGTTAGCAAATGCCATTCAGTCCTGGAGCTCATGACTCCCTGTCTCCCTGTGCCAGGCCCGGCCTTGAGCACCCCTCTAGGTCAAGGTGTCGGTCTCTTCATTGCCTCTGGCTCCTGCTTTGCTTTCTTCTTAGCAGCTGGGCTATGGGTTTTTACAAATCTTTGTGTATAATGTGAATACAGAAATATGTATCATGTAACAGTGTAGCTGTGTTTTGCAAATTGATTAGACCCAGAACCAGGAGCATGTACAGCAACCTCAGGCTCACACGAATCCCCTGCCTCAGGCTGTCCCACCAAGGTCAAGTCTACATTCCTTCCCCTTGACTGCCCATCCTGCTCTGAACACATTCTGTCCCAGGCTCTGTCCCAAAGCAGGCCATATTGTTGTTACCTTTGCCCTCAGACCCAATACCTTCTCCTCCTGCCCTCCCTCTGACAGACACCGCCATCCATATCTGTGCCTCTTTCCCTCAGCCCTGGGAGTGGAACCCAGGCTGGCTAAGTGCTGTACCACAGAGCCACAACCCCAGCCAGCATGACCTTTAAAAAACTCCATGTGCCGTGCGGTGGTGGCGCACGCCTTTAATCCCAGCACTCGGGAGGCAAAGGCAGGTGGATCTCTGTGAGTTCAAGGCCAGCCTGGTCTCCAAAGCGAATTCCAGGAAAGGCGCAAAGCTACACAGAGAAACCCTGTCTCGAAAAAACCAAAAAAACCCCCCAATGTAATTTCTCTGCTTACCATGACTTCACCTACTGCTTTACAGTCCTGTTTCTGCCTTTCTCCCTCCACCCTCATGACTGAATATCAGCCCTCATGACTGAATATCAGCTGAGAGGCTACAACCAGGGCCTTCGTGCCCACCCTGCTCTTGCTGAGGGTAATTACTCAGAGAAACCCTGTCAAGCAAACAAATGGGAATGCCAGAGCGACTGGTATGAGGAGACTATGGGCATGCAGTCAGCAACAAGCAACCTGAAGGATGCTCTGGAGGACCCAGGCCCGGGGACCATCAAGATGCCGCCATCTCACTTACCCAGTTCTCCATTTTCTTGGCCCTGCGCTCCAGTCCCTTTTGCAGGCGCTCCCCTACACCCCCTGAGCTCTGAAATTCGTCCACCAGTTGCTTGGTGTGGGCCCACTCTTCCTCACTCACGATGGGCTGCAGTGCCTTGAGGTAATGGTCCAGGGATTGCTGGAGTGGGGGCACAGGCAGCCTCGGCAATGCATCCTGGTGGGCCTTGAAGCGACCAGAAACCTTCATCAGGGAGGAGGGCTTGAGGAGGCCCAGGGGCTTTACCTGAGGGAAGCAGAACAGCTTATTCATTCTCTCAGACTAAGCACAGCTCTCTCTAAACTGCAGTCCTGGGCGCTTATATGCCATCCCTGGGGGCAAAGACAGCCTAATGGGCGGTGCCTGCCCTGGATGCCCAGCCCTTCTGGTTTGGGAGTCCCGCCTCTTAGGAGCCTAGAGGTGCAGGGAGGCTAGGAAAGGGTGGGGGTGGGGTGGGGCAGGGATGAACAACACTGTAAGGGGGCCTCATGCCTGTCAGGATGCACAAGACCCATGGTCCTTCTTGCCCTGGGCAGAAAAGTCAGCCAGCAGAGGTGGCAGCCGGCTCTCTAAGCTGAGGTCCCCAACTTCCTTTCCCTCCACCCTTTCCATCTGAGAAATAGGAAGGAATTGGAAAAGGGAGACCCAGACAGGGACAGCACCTCTGGACTTTCTCTTCAATGTGCTGTGATGGTAAGGGTGTGGGGCAATGCTGCAGCAAGAGCTGAGTAGCCTGGCATGGAGGGAGAGGTGACAGAGAGAGAGGTGGAGAGTCCAGGAGACTCGGAAGTGGCAGAAAGCAAGGTAGGAAGGTCCCAGGCTGCTGGCACAGTGGCAGGCAAGCGGCAGAAGCTCCATTCCATACCTTCTCTCTCTGCTGCTCGTCCTCCATGGCAGGACTGAGGATGTGAGCCCTGTCTGTCTGCCTTGGCTGGATCTCTAAGCCTAACTGTGCTACCAATTGGACGAGCAGAAACTACCAAGAGGCAGCCACCTGCCTGGGCTGGAAAGAGAAGACAAGATCCACAATTCAGGGCTGAGGGAGCAGCGAGGCAGTAGCCACTGACGTGGTGGCATCTAAGGCTGTAGCCGTGGTGACGACAAGATTGCAGCAGCTACCCTCCACTTCTCCCGACCGTCCAGAGGAGGAGGGATAGGGCAGCTGAGTGGGCTGGAAGTAGGCACTGGAGTAGGAGGAAGCCTGGAACTTTCTCCTTTCTTCTTTGGATGGGCCCAGAGCCAGGGAGGCAAGCCAAGAGGTATTAAAAAATCCACCTGTCAAGATCTTCAGTGATCTTTTTGATGTGGGAAAACTTGGCTGGAGGGTGGACTGGTTGTTAACCCGTGGCCCTGAAATCAGTCCTGTTTGGGACTGTGCAAGACAGGAGATGGCAGAAAAAGGCCACACTAGTGGATAATGATTGCGACAAACCTTGCCCATCTGTTTCCCTTCTAGACCTAGGGGCTTTTGGTGGTCACCCCTCCAACAAAATCTGTTTTTTCACTTGTTTGTTTGTTTTTCTGAACTCTAGATCATTCAGGTTGAGATCAAGAGTGTGTGGGTAGGGGTATGGGGTGTGTGTTGCGGGGGGAGGCAGGAGTACTTTGGGTGTGAACAATAAACCAAAGGACCTACTCTGGGGATTGGGCTAAATTGATTAGCAGAGCCACGGGATCTGAGTGTCTCCTGTGTCAGTTTCCCTAGCATTAAAGTGATTGTGCCAGTATGGTTGGTGGTCCCAGAGGACAATGTAAAAGCAGTCTGGTGGCCGGCGTACAGCTTTTGAAAAGGGAGAGGCAGGTCTCAGGTGCTGCTGGGACCCTTAGAAGAGTCTTGGTCTGAGCTGACGTGGTGCCCTTAGCTGCCAAACCAGTGTCCGAGATGGAGGCACAGTTAGTTCACGGCTGTACAGCTCGCTTGAATCAGAGAGGAAGGAGCACTGGGTAAGGATGGCAAAGGCCTTCCTGCCACCTCCTGCCTGTTCTGGGGACTTCCAGGACAAGTCTCCACCTGAGGTTTTTGGTCACATACAGTGGGGGAGGGTGAGCACCTGATGAACTCAAGGAGAATGACCAACTGGGTAGGGCTTGGAGAAGTGACTCTGGTCGGGGCAAGGGCAACTGGGCCTGAGGATGAGCCCTAGCCAGGGGCTCCTGACGGGTGTCTGAGTTAGCATAACAGAGTATGACGGAGAAGCGGGGTGTAAAGGTGAGAGAGACTTGAACCCAGATTTCCCAGTGTTTTCCTGGGTCGTTGACAATGAGCACCACAGGTCTCGGGTTCAATCCCGCCCCTCATCTGGTCGGTCTGCTCTGCCCACCTTGCAGATCGCACCCTATCAGCCAGTGTGGGATTCTGAACCGAGCGCCGTTGTTTCCCCGCAGCCCGCGGCCCTTGGCCCGCCTACCTTACCCTGTCCCGAACCCTCCGGGGCGTACTCACCACGGTCCTGGCAGCAAAGGCTAACATCGTCCCAGTCTGTCTGCGGACACTCGGTCCGCTCCGCCCCTCGCGCTGGGCAAAGTCTGCACGGTTGTGGGGTCAGTGGGTTCCCCTCTCGGGCTCTAGGTTCAAGGTCACCAAGTCACGGCCGCCAGCCAGTAGAGGCGGCCCCGCGCCCACCGGGCCGGGCGGGCGGCCGGTGGAGCAGGACTCGCGGGGCGGAGCCTCGGTGGGTCGCAGTTGCAAGCCGCTAGTCGCGAGCCGAGGGCTGGCCCGAGCCTGGACGTGGTCACAGGGGGAGGGGCCTGTGGCGACAGGTCCCCGGCTCAGCCGTTAGAAGCCAGGCACTGGGCTTCCGTCACAGGTCACGGCGGTGGCCACGGCCCCGCTCGCGCTCTCCGCCTCCGAATGCCACCAAAGCTGCCGAGGCGGCTGTGTGCGTCCATCAAGTCTGACTGGTGTCCTTGGACGTCACTCTTGGAGTCGCAGGAAAACATAACTATGTTGACAGAGGACGGTCTCAGATTCTTTGGGCCAGGCTCAGTGCCGTGCACAAAGATGACAGGTGGCCTTGCCCCACACAAATATGGCTGCCACACCCACCCCCACGGAAAGCGGACGCCCCGCACAAATATGGCTGCCGCATCTGCAGTTGGCCTGCGGGCGGCAGCCGTTAGTGCGCATGCCCGCGGCGCCCCGCACCAAAATGGCCGCTGCGTGCGTCCGTCCGTACCGCGGCCCCGAGACGGCAGTTGGTGGGCATGCTCCCTGCGTGCCCCGCACTGGCATGGCTGCCGCCTTCACGAGAGTGACTGTAATTCTCGGCTTCCGGTCGTAGCCGGCCGGCGCTCATTTCTCTTGTGGAAGCTTAGTGGAGCCGGGGAAAGGTGCGCCGTGGACGGTGAGAGGGAACTGCGAGCATCCGCGCCGGCTGCTAACGGGGAAGATGGCTGAGGGCGAGCGGCAGCCGCCGCCAGGTAGGGCGGTTGGAGGGCCCCGGCGTGCGGGTAGGAAAGGGGTGTGGCTGGGGGGCTCTCAGGAGCGTGGGGAGGTGGAGAGGCGTTAGAGGCCAAGCTGGCGGCCTCCGAGGAGTTGGAGGGCCAGACCCGGGGCAGCAGGCGGGTGGCGGGGAGGGCGACCGGACTGGGGAACCCGGGGCCGTCCGAGGGCCGGGCGGGCAGAGCGGTGGGGAAGGGCAGAGCGTGCTTAGGTAAAGCTCTTGACCTGGTGCCAGAGTTGCCTGGGGTCGGGGCCGAGAGGGATGGAGGAGGCTGCCTTCGTTATGAGGCTGCTCGAGTGGGCCTGGGCCTCGCTCACACGCCAGCCTCCTCCATGCCCTGCCCACCCTGCATCGTCTCCCTCCCTCCCTCCCTCCCTCCCTCCTGCAGGCCTGGCTCTGGGGTTTCAGTATCTATAGAGTTGAGAGAAACTACCTGGGGTGTCTAAACCACTAATTTAAAAAAGCTGTTTGTGCAAGATGAGAGGGTTGGTGGCATCACCGTCTGTAACTTTTATTTACACTGTGGCCTCATTGTAGTTCATCTCAAGTAACTAGGGCAGAGGTACAGGCCGGTTCTTCCAGAAGAGACCCCCCCTTCCTGGAGAAGAAAGCAGTTTGCTGACTCCGTGGAGTTAAGAAGGTCCGGAAAATTCTTACAGAGAATGGATAGTTTGGCTAAACACGGCTCGTGTTTTGAAAGCGTTTGATGATCCTTCTGCCACACTTCGTATTTTGTGGCCCCAGAGAGAGTCTCACTCAGTAGGGAGAAATTTTGAAAACCAAAAGAGGCACCATTTCTGTGCCCCGCCAAAATAGATGAGCACAGTGGAATTCAAAACCAGACATTTATTTTAAATTATTCCCAAACCTCTGTGAATGTGTTCTAATCAATTCTGACGGACTCCTTTTGAAATGAGTGTCCCTGAAAATGAGTAGGGAGGAGATGTTGGGGATCAGAACCTGTGCACTAAAACAAGCAAACAAGAAAAATAACCTCATGGAGGTGAACTGTGACTTCTGGAAAGACTCAGGTCCTTGGAGGTAGCTCCTCTGAAGTCTGAAATAGTATTTATGTATTTGAAGGCAAGGTCTCACTATATGTATAGCTTTGACTGTCTTGGAACTCACCATGTAGAACAGACTGGCCTCAAATTTACAAAGATCTGCCTACTTCTGCCTCTGAGTGCTGGGATTAAAGGTGTATGCCACCATGCCCAGAGGAATTATTTATTTTTTAAAATCAATTTTATCAGTTTTAACTTATGTTTTAGGAATAAAACAGATTTGAGTTCATATGAAGGACAGTAGTGTGGGAAGTAATGAGAATACCACCTGAGGCCCAGACAGGAGTTTTTAGATTAACTGGTAAGAAATTCTGTAAAGTTGTGGAAAGCAGTTGAGTTATGCAGACTATATGGCAAGTGACAACCTCTGTGTTCTTTGGTAGACTGAAAATGAGGATACTCTGGCTCAGCAAGTAAAAGTGTTTGCTGCCATGCCTGGTGGCCTGAGTTCGATCCTTGGAACCCACAAGGTAGAAGGACAGGACTGACTCTTACTTGTTGTCTTGTGACATCCACACACACTCTGTGGCTTTATCCACCCATGTGCATGTACAACACACACACACACACACACACACACACACACACGAAATTAATTTTAAAATGAAGTTATCCAACTTTCCTCATGGAGTTGTATGTGGACTGTCAGATGTGATCAGAGTGTGAGGTGTGATAGGTACACAGTGGATACAAACATGTCACCTCCAAATGGGAGGTGATAATCCAGCACACGCTTGGAACGTTTGGTGGGTATTTTTGTTTCTGGGTTTTTGTTTTTGTTTTGACAGGATATCACTGTGTATCTTCAAATCCCCTAACACTTTCATTTCCTCATGACTTCTCCAGGCAGGAGAAGTTCTGTTCTCTGCACATGCCATACACACAGAACTGTTCTAGGACTAGAACTCACTCTAGACCAGACTGGAACAGAACTCACCTGCCTCTGCCTTCTGAGTGCTGGGATTAAAAGCCTGCACTACTATATCCAGTATGTGCTTTTGATACAAGGTCACTGGCCCTGGCTGCTCCGGAAATCATCTTATAGCCAAGAATGACCTGATCTTCTTGTCTACCCCCAAGAGCTGGGATTACAGGTGTGGGCCACCATGCTCAGCTGTTATGAGGCAGGCCAGACTTGGGGGTCCTCCTGCCTCCACCCACTGAGTGCTGGGACTGTAGTGATGTGTTAACCGCACCTGGGCTACTTTTGGGGTTTTTTAAGGAACGTCTGTAAAACTCTTCATGTTTTGATCTTAGCTGTCAATGCAGGTGACCCAGTGTCTGCGTCCTTTGTCAGACAACCTGTGACTGGAGAGGCTGGGGCTGGGCTTCTTGTCGGCTTGTCTCTGAAGCCTTCTTAGTTTTTGCTTGTTTGGTTGGTTTTGACTTGGGATTGTGTACTCTGTGTTTCTTCAGGGACTTACTGCTTTGTTTCACATAAGGCGGCCTCTGCTCTTGGGGATGTTGCCAGGTCTTGAGGCCTTCTTCTCTGTGAAATAGTATCTGGGGAGGACAGTTTATTGCAGGGAATAGGTCTCTTTCAAGAGGGCTGGATCCCAAAACCCATTTGCAGTTTGGGTATTTGGAATGTGGAAGACATTTTCCCATAAAATGTGTCCCTATAAACCGGTTGGCTCACCAGACTGGCTTCAAAGCTTTTTATTTAGCATCTTACTTCCAGTAGCAATTTCCTATTAGGAAGGGCCTGCAGTGGGGCTCTGGGAACAGTGTATGTGTGGGATCAGAAGAGTAGGGGCCGGAGGGGAGCTTCTGAACTCCGGCGTGACCTTTCCCCTCCCTCCCTCTCTGCTTTCCTTCTGAGTTCTGCGAAGTCTGGGAAGCTTATCTTGCTCTTATCTCATTTTCTGACCTTCTCCTTAGGTCTCCAAGTCCCCTGGCACTTTAGTTTCCTCGTACCTTCTCCAGGTGGGCTCTGTTCCCTGCACAAGCCACACAGGACTGTTGTAGGTCTTTGTCAGTGTGCAGTGTTGACTGGGTTTGAAAGGAAGACAGCAGGGAAGGTTTGTGTCATGTGGAATCTCATCCCCTTTCTCCTTCCTGAGACTTCCTGAATCACCACATCTCCAATTGCAGACTCAGGCTTGACCGGCAGGTGTGTTTGGAATTTGGTTTCTTGTGTTTAAGGAGGCACACTCCTAACCAAGCAGAATCATTTCAGCAGTACATAAATGCCTTCACTAAGCAGGATACACAAAGCCTACAGATGTCTACATATTAGTCTATAAATATAAATTAACATGATTAATATAATAAAATATCTTTTAAAAAATTAAAATAATAAAGACAGTTTTTTTAAAAAAGCACCACCCAGCCACAATTTTTATTTTTAAAATTTCTGTGTTTTTTTTTTTTTTTTTTCCCCGAGACAGGGTTTCTCTGTGTAGCTTTGCGCCTTTCCTGGAACTCACTTGGTAGTCCAGGCTGGCCTCGAACTCACAGAGATCCGCCCGGCTCTGCCTCTGCTGGGATTAAAGGCGTGTGCCCCACCACCGCCCGGCAATTTCTGTGGTCTTGATTTCCTTTTCTTTCTTTTTCCTTCTCCCTCTTTTTTTTTTGAAACAGACCCTGGCTGCCTGGCTGCCTAGAACGTACTGTGTCACCCAGACAGGCTTCCCACCTGATGATTATCCCCCTCCTCCCAAATCTTGAGACTATAGGCAAGTGCAGGGGTTACAGGTGTGTGCCACTGTGCCTGGCTTGGTTTTATTTTTTAAGTGTCTTGTCCAGTTAGGTAGGGGTCAGGGAGGGAGTGGTTGGTTACTAGAGAACCAGTCACTTTGTGTGTATACATCTATGTGTACAGTTATGTATAGAAGCAGAGGCCAGAGGTGGTTATTGGGTGTTGTCCTCATATTTTTTTGAGACAGGGTCTCTCACTGAACCAGGAACTATGGATTCAGCTCGGCTCTGGCCAGTGAGCTCCATGGATCCACCTGACTGCTTCCCCAACACTAGAATTGTCTGTGTGTGTCACTGTGCCCAGGTTTTTATGTGTATGCTAGGGTCTGAACTCAGGTGCTCAATCTTTGGTGGCAGGCACTTTACCTGCTGGCCTGCTCTGTTTTTCACTCCTTATGAAATAAAAGACTCGAAGCTGGTGGGTTTGGTTTGGGCTCAAAGACTGGAGTCTTGCTTTAAAAATGAGAGAGGTGGGTAGTGGTGGGGCACGCCTGTAAGCCTAACACTCAGGAGGCAGAGGCAGGTGGAGCTCTTGAGTTTGAGGCCAGCCTGGTCTATAGAGTGAGTTCCAGAACAGCCAGGGCTACACAGAGAAACCCTGTCTTGAAAAACAAACAAACAAACAAACAAAAAAAAAAAAGGAAGAAAAGAGAGAGAGGTCTGGGTGTGGAGTCCCACTCCTTGATTCTAGCACTGAGAAACAGAGAGAGAGTTCTCTTGAGTTTAGGCCAGGCTGATCTATATCGTGAGGTCTAGGCCAGCCAGGGCTACATAGAGAGAACCTGCTTCCAAAAAGGGAGGAGGGGTTGGAGGGAGAAATTATTTACCTGTTTGCCCTATCATTTTCTTTGTCAAGATTCTTCAGAGGACATCCCTCCAGCTACTCAGAACTTTATCATTCCAAAAAAGGAGATCCACACAGTTCCAGATATGGGCAAATGGAAGCGCTCTCAGGTACGAGTGGTACCCACATGTGAGGGTTGGAGCAGGGGTGGGAACTTGAGACTTTCCAGGCAGGGTAGGGTTCTATGTCCCTTGACTTTCCTGCTCTTGGAACCTGAGCTGTCAGTACTTAGGAGGGAGATGAGAAGGTAGCTGTCTCCCTCCCTCCCAGTCAGTGCACAGAGTTGCTTTGCCAGGAAGGTCTACCTGGGGCCCTGGTAAGTCTGGAGTGTCCCATTCTGGTTAAAGCATTCATTGCTCCTTTAGTGTTATACTGGATGAACATGGATCTCCTAATTCTTGCTTGCAAGAACCTACACATGTAGGAGCCAGTGCAACAGAGGGAGACGAGACTGGCTTGTGGATACCTTAGCCAGGAACATGCCTGCCCTAAAATAGCTGAGACTGGAGATCCAGCCCCGGCAGTAGGCTGGCTTTCTCTGCTGCTCAGCCCAGACGGTGGGCAGAAGAAAGCTCATTGTGCCTCTTAGGCTTCCAATCCAGAACTGAGGAAAAGAAAGACCACTTGGAATTCTTAGAGAGAGGGCCTTGGGCCCAGCTCCAGTCAGGCACTAATGCCAGGTCTGCAGCTGCCATGGAAAGTGTCATTTGCACAGACGGCAGGCACAAGGGCCCTTGCTTATGTGACAGATCATCCATGCCAAGTCTGCCAAGCTTAGGCTGAGCAGCCATATGCCTTTACTGCCTTGGGTTGGAAGGGTCACGGGAGCCCGTCCCTCCCTTCTTTCACAAGCCTGCCTGCCCTCTGACGTTTGCAGATGGCTATCATGTCCTTTTCTGAGTTCTCACCGGGCTAAGCACCGTAGCCCCTCCCGCTGCTCAGAAGCTGAGGCTAGAGGCTTTCGTCATCTCAGTTGCTCTGTCTCTGAGTTTCTCAGTCTTATAGCAGCACTGTGTGTCTTGTAGGGGCAGTCCTCGAATGTAGGCTCTGACCCTAGCTCTATCCACTGAATGTCGCCACACCTATCCGTACCCTCCCAGCTGAGAGACGGTTCTTATATGGAACTAGCTGTTTGTCTGACTCTGTGACACTACCTTTTGCATTCCATGGCAAACACTGGCTCTGGTCAGGACAAGGGCTTGGTCCTGTCCTTTGTGGGGAAAAGTTTCTTTGTTTGACTTCCCTGGCCTGCTGGAGGCCATCTTACAGGCTGGTGGGGGGCTCTAGTATGGACTCTCCCACTCTAGATGCCAAATGTTGGTTGTCATGGCTTATCATGGGTGTCCCACGCCCCATAGGCTGAATGAGGAGGCAGAAGGTAAGAGGGAGAAACGAAGAAGAAACAGATGGAATGGAGGCATTGCTCTCAGAAGCTGCTTCCCCGGGGCCTGCATCCCAGTGTTTTCTTCTCCCTGTGCTAGGGTAACCTGCAACACAGCAGGAAGAAAGTCCAGTGGGAAGTGGGGCTGGGGTCCCAGCAGACCGCTCTGTAGGCAGGGAAGAGCTCCTGCTGGGGGCTGAGAGTCTCACTGTGGCTGCCACCCTGACCTGGGGAGGGAGTGGTGGGGCAGTCCTTGACCTCCTTCCTGCCGGTAAGGGGTAGTGGTCAGACATGGAATGGCTGTTCAGCTGTGGAGTTAGGCTGGCTCTGTGTCTAATGAAATCTCGGTCCTGGAAAACCATGGCAGATGACTTCTTTCCTTGAGGTCTTGCTTTCTTAGTAAGACGGTGACAATGGTGTCTTCCTGTGGGACTGTCTAAAGAATCTACCGACAGGAGCTGGAGAGATGGCTCATAGATTAAGAGAACTGGCTGCTCTTCCAGTGGTCCTGAGTTCAATTCCCAGTAACCACATGGTGGCTCACAACCTTCTATAGTGGGATCTGATGCCTTCTTCTGGCCTGCAGGCATACATGCAGATAGAATAATGTATATATAATAAAAACAAATAAATCTTTAAAAAACAATCAAAAGAAACAAAAAGAAGAAACTACCTATAGCAGTTGTGAGCACTTTAGACCTTGACTGGGGGTTGGGTATGGTTGTGATCACTGCATTGCTGGCTTTATTGATGGGGCAGATGTGTATTTGGTATTGTCTACTTCTGGTACTGGGTTGGGAGTGGGAGCTGGGGCAGCTTGGGTGGGACTGGGATAGATGAGATCTGACGCCTTCTTCCTCCCCTGCTCTCCCTGTTTGGCAGGCATATGCTGACTACATCGGCTTTATCCTTACCCTCAACGAAGGTGTGAAAGGGAAGAAGCTGACCTTCGACTACAAAGTCTCTGAGGTAGGCACAGGCAAGGAGCCTGCTGCAGGCCACACAGGCTGATCATCCATGGCAGGCAGGTGCAGACGATGGTTACCCCGGCACAGTGCAGTTAGAATTTGTGGCCCATACTCCTAATGTTTTCAATCTGTGCATAAAATAATATTTATAACTGAAATTGAGGTAAGTATGCAGTCTTATAGTCTGTATTTTTTCTAATTGGTATTTTTATTAAACTTGAAATTAAAGATGACAAAAGGGGCTGGAGATGTGGCCAAATGCTTGCCTAGCATATGCATGCCAAGAGCTGGAAAAAAAAGGAGGTAGATGAGTCCTGTGGAGAGGTCACTAGCAGAAGCACGTTTGGCATCAATGCAAACCAGAACAGGGTTAGATCTCCAGTTTTCTAGGAGATTCAGCACATACTTGACATGCATTATGCCCTGAGTTCAAACCCCAGCACCACCACTTTCCAGGGCAACCCTGGGAACAGTGCACACGCACACCTCCTATCTGTTGGCCTAACTAGCCACCCTATTGAGACATTCCCTCATTGTTTCAACAGTCCTGACTTTGCAGCTGTGTCCCCAGGCACTGCTGCTCTGAGCATCCGACAAGGAGCTCTGTGGGCCCCATTTCCTCACCCCCATTCCTGGTAGAAGTGCTGAGCAGAGAGCACAGGCTCGCTCTTGCTTTAGGAGTCCCGCTGTGTCGTGGGTGCTCGGATTGTCAGGAAAGGTCTGAGATAGGAACCAGGTGGCCAGCCACCTCTCCCACTGGAGGGTAGTCTCCCAGGCCACGTGCTGTTGCAAGGCCGTCTCCCAGAACTAGGTCCCGGGCCTCCAGTGGCCTCTCGGGTTCATGGCCCAATTGGCCCAGAGCCACTCTGAGCCTCTTATCTCAGACACCAGCAGCTGAGTGGCCTCTCAACACTTTGGCTTTCTGCCCTCTAGTTACAGCTGGATCCTGTTGGGTAAGGTCTGGCTTTGTCCTGGCCTGGTTTCTTCATCTGACCCAGGCTAACAATGCCCTTTTTAATCCCTCAAACCAGGTCCTTGGTACAGCCACTTGGCCCTTGTTGGCTCCTGGGTGACAGTCTGGTTCTTTCTACTAGATGGGAGCTAAAGCAGCACTGGGAGAGACTCTGTCCCTTGAGGAGCTAGCCCACAAGTGACTCCTTGGATTGGCTGTGTGGCTGTGGCTTTGAGCATAGGCTGGCTAGGAAGATGAGTTCAGCCCTGCCCAGTGTGCTGGAAACATCGAGGGGGAGCTAATTAAAGGAGAATGCTATGATTACCCCAGCAAGGACTGAGCTACCAATCCCCTTGGCTCCTCAATTGCTCCCAAGTTTCTATGGGAATTGTCCTCACTGATTAGGTGTTGCCTTGGCTGAAGGGCTGTTCTTTTGGCAGGATCATATCGTGTGTCAGGCTGATAGGGTTTGCCAGCACACCACCTCCCAGCTGAGTGGCTTTGCGTTCCCCTCCTCGTTTTTTTTTTTTTTTTTTTTTTTGAGTGCTGGGGATAGAACCCAGCACTTTGCACAAGCTAAGCAAGAGCTCTGCACTGAACCATATCCAGGTCCATTTCTTGGGATTGCATCTTCTCTTTCTTTTTTTCTTTCTTCCCTTCCTCCCTTCCTTTCTTTTTTTCTTTCTTTTTTTTTTTTTTTTTTTTTTTGAGGCTAGGGTCTTGCTATCACCCTGACTGGCCTGGAATTCACTGTTTAAACTAGGCTGGCCTCCAACTTGTGATCTTCCTGCCTCTGCCTTCCAAGTACCAGGAGTATAGATTTTCATTACCGTACTCGGCTTCCTTCTTGTCCTTACTGGCCCTCTGTAGAGTAAGTGGGCCCTCGGGGTGTGGGACATGAGGTGAGGAGCCACTGGGATCCCATGTACAGGGTTAGTATATGCTGAAAGCCTCTGCTGTTCTTAGCTGTCTGTGTCAGTAGGTTCATTCAGCTCTAACTGTCAGATGTTCTTGCTTCAGCTGGGCCCGTCCTGAGCTGGATCCATCCCTATGCCCACCTTAGTGGGTGTACAGCCAGAGCCAGTTTGGTCCCCCGAAGTCTCCTGAGTGTTGGCAGGAGCAGTAGAAGGTAGCAGCCATAGCATGTCACCATGGCTGTATGTAGGGATTTCCTTGTGCCACTCGGCACAGCTGCCAGAGCTCCTGTGTCCTCTCAGTACAGCCCAGATTTCCATACGACCTGAAGCAGAGGACAAGCCATAGCAAGGTAGAGTTGTCTAGACCCATGGTGACAAGTTGTCCTTTAGATTGTACTGTGCTAGTACTGGAGAGGTGTTTATTTAAGAGAGGGAGATGGGTGTGTTTGTTGTTGAGACAGAGTCCTTCTATATAGCCTTGCCTGGCCTGAACCTTACTATGTAAACCAGGCTGGCCTTGAACTCACAGATCCATGTGCCTTTGCCTCCTGAGTGCTGGGATGAAAGGTGTTTGCTACCATACCTTATTTTTGTTGCTTCTTTTGCCTTTGTGTTTTGTTTTTTGTTTGTTTTGATTTTTTGAGACAGAGCTTCTCTGTGTATCCCTAGCTGTCCTGGAACTCGCTTTGTAGACCAGGCTGGCCTTGAACTCATCCAGCTGCCTCTGCCTCCACCGCCCAGGCAGAATGAGAAGTTGGCAAGTCTAATTTTAGAGAAGATTTAGTGGTCCTGAAGTTCAAGAGACGCTGCTATAGGAATGGAAGGGGCACAAATTTTTCTTCTGCCTTAGGGTGGGGTGGGTGGGGTGGTTCCAGCCCAGGATTGCTTCCTTCTCCAGCCCTTCTCCCAGCAGGACAGACATTGGAGGCAGAGGGAGGAGCTGTGAGTCTCTTAATTATTTATCAGCCCAGCTGAGCTAGTTGCTGGGTCCAGGCTCCTGCTGGCCTCAGGAGCCCCATTCTTATTTTTTTATTTTTTGGAGACAGGGTTTCTCTGTGTAGTTTTGGTGCCTGTTCTGGATCTCGCTCTGTAGACCAGGCTGGCCTCGAACTCACAGAGATCCGCCTGGCTCTGTCAGGTGCTGGGATTAAAGGTGTGTACCACCACTGCCTGGCCAGGAGTCACATTCTTTATCCCCTTTAGTGCCTTGTCAGGCCTCAAGCTGAGATCTCCAGAGAGCCTGGTGCTTCCTGGGGCTAAGAGGCCCCACCCTCCTGCAGACCCCAGTTGCCATGTGAAATGAGCTTTGGTCTGTACTCAGCAGCAGTTCCTAGTGACCTGGTTCCTCACAAAGCCTGGCTCTGACAGCACTTGCTGTTACAGTTCAGCAAGACATCTTTAGGCCACGCCAGCCACCGCCTCAGCTTACAAGCAACTTTCCTTCCTTCCATACCCCTAGCATATGTGAGGAGGGGGATATCAGCATTCAGGGCCATTGTTATGCTGTACAGCTAGAGTCCTTGCAGCAGAGTCCTCACTGCAGGTACACAGCACTTAACGGAAGCCTTTTTGGGGTTGCTCCTGTTTTTACCCAGTTCCAGGATCTCCTGGAGATTTCTATTTATACTGTGCATTCCCATTGACACAGACAGGATTTGCTTCCTGGCAGGGCCTCTCTTCCCAAGGCTTCCTGGCCTTAAGTTGCTCCAGTATCATGTACTCTTCCAGCCCTTAATCCTGGCCTGGAAGGAACATGTGGCTGGATGCCTGACCCGATTTCCTCTGTAACTAACATTTAATGTGCTGTTGCCTCCCACACCTGTGACTCTGAGTCTGCTTCCTGGTACTGTTTGTGGGGATGGCATGAAGAGATGGGTTCTTAGGCTGCCAGCTGTCAGAGCTTTGTCCAGGTGACCCCAGATTTCCATATTGTCTGTGGTGGGTGAAATATGAAGAAAGCCTAGACGTTTCAACAGTTGAAGACTATTAAGGGGGTCACAGCATTCTGTGTACACACTGGTGTAGAATGAGGTTTAGTGGAGAGGAGCCGGCTAGGGCAGTTGTCCATGGTCCAATTTCAGGGTCTGTAGGCATTAAGTATATCTCATTGCTCTGTAGCAGGCTCTTGTACCTTAGGAGGTATAGATCCTTTCCCTCACATTTGGAATGAAGAAACAGAAGCTCAGGTCTCCCAAGTAGCTCAGTGCTGTTTTAGTAGAGGGTTGGAGCCAGGCTATCTATCTGTGGAGTTCTTCAAGTGTTGGGGAGCACTCTAGAGAACAAGCCAGGGTGTTAAGATGTGGGCGGTATTTGTTTTGGGGGGTCAGGATTACTGGCTGTAGTAGTTACTTGTCTTGGAAGCTGTTTAAGGGAGAGGATTTATTCCAGCACTTAGTTGAGGTACAGTTCATGGCAGGGAAGTATAACACGCTGAAGGGATGTGGGGCGGCTGTTCACTTTGCATCCACAGTCAGGAAGCAGAGAGAGAAAGGCTGGTGCTCAGCTGGGTTTCTCCTTTATCCTTTTTATTCAGTCTAGGAGCCTACCTATAGGGTGCTACGACCCACATTCAGGGTGGGTCTTCCTCCGCAGTTAAACCATCTGGAAAATGCCCTAGAGACATACACAGAAGGATGCTTTAACAGTGGTTCTAAATGGAGCATGGGGACAGTGAAGATTGTCTTAAAGTTTCTTTCTAGTGCTGCGATAAGGCACCATAACCAGCAGGGCGTGGTGGTGCACGCTTTTAATCCCAGCACTCAGGAGGCAGAGGCAGGCAGGTCTCTGTGAGTTCGAGGCCAGCCTGGTCTACAGAGTGAATTCCAGGACAGCCAGGGCCATTACACAGAGAAATTCTGTCTCAAAAAAAACCTTAAAACAAAAAAAATAACAACAAAAAGGGCACTGTAAGCAAAGCAGCTTTGGAGAGGAGAGGGTTTGTTTCTGCTTACAACTCACGTCACAGTCCACCACTGAGGGAAGTCAGGGTAGGAACTCAGGCAGAGGCTGTGGAGGACTGTAGCTTACTGGTTGGTTCTTCATGACTTGCTCAGCCTGTGTCTTTCTTTTCTTTTTTCTTTTGTTTTGTTTGTTTGTTTTTTGAGACAAGGTTTCTCTGTTTAGCCCTGGCTTTCTTGGAACTCACTGTGTAGAACCAGGCTGGCCTCAACTCAGAGAACTCAAAGATCCCCCTGCCTGTGCCTCTTGAGTGCTAGGATTAAAGGCGTGTGCCGGCCGGCCGGCCGGGCGGTGGTGGCGCACACCTTTAATCCCAGCACTCGGGAGGCAGAGCCAGGCGGATCTCTGTGAGTTCGAGGCCAGCCTGGTCTACAGAGCGAGATCCAGGAAAGGCGCAAAGCTACACAGAGAAACCCTGTCTCGAAAAACCAAAAAAAAAAAAAAAAAAGGCGTGTGCCATCACTGCTCAGCTTCAGCCTTTCGTCAAGAACCCAGGACCACCTGTCCAGGCTCAGCACTGCCCACAATAAGCTGGGCCCTCCTGTATCTATCATCAGTCAAGAACATACACCCCAGGCTTGCCCGTAGGCCAGTTTAGTGGGACATTTTCTCAGTTAGGTTCCCTCTTCCCGATGACACTAGCTTCTGTCTAGCTTTACAGAGATGAAGCACCACACTGCCTTTCTCTGCTCTTCAGTCCTGCCTGCTTTAACAAAGATGGGGCTCTCTAGTGACCCCTCCTGAGTAGGCTGGCTGAAGAAACAGTTGGAACTACCCAGGACGCTGTCCTGTCAGCCAAGTGTGATTCTCTCTTTGAAGGGAAGGTCGCTTCCTGACCCTCCTTCCCATTCAGGACAGTTGGGAATGAGGGTGACAGCTAGGCCAGCCTAGGGGCCACCTCCCCCAGCAATTGAGACTTCCTTCTGTGGCTCAAGCAGGGCCACCAGTCACTGGTGTGGTTCCTGTCTCCCCTTCACAGGCCATTGAGAAGCTGGTAGCTCTTCTTGATACGCTGGATAGGTGGATTGATGAGACCCCGCCGGTGGACCAGCCTTCCCGATTTGGGAACAAGGCCTACAGGACCTGGTATGCCAAACTTGATCAGGTGAGACCGTCAGAGCCCAGGTTGGGCTGGGCCAGTGGGAGAACTACTGTGGCTCCAGGTGGGGCAAGGTCTGTGTTCAAAGTAGGCCAGTCTAGCTTCCAAACATAAAATCAGGTAATTTGTCAGAATGGCAGTTTTGTTTACCTAAATTACAAAATCATCCTCTGTCCCAGCCAGTCTTCTGGGAACTACAGGTGTGGCTACACAGTCCCCTGTATGAGGCTGCTTATTAAGTCATTTTTATTAACAGCAGATTGGAAGTGACTCAGGTACCCGTCATAAGAGGACAAGTGAACTATACGAGACCATACTGTGAAGTACTATGCAACCGTGAAAAGGAATAAGGAAGCTAGGTGGTAGTGGCCCAAGCCTTTAATCCCAGCACTTGGGAGGCAGAGGCAGGTGGAAAAAACTCCCTCCAAAAAGAAAAAGAAAAAGGAAAAGCTGGGTGTGGGTGCACACCCTTAATCCCAATTTTGGGTGGCAGAAGCAGGTGGATTCCTGTGAGTTTGAGACCAGCCTGATACATATATAACAGGTTCCAAGCCAGCCAGGGCTACATAGTGAGACCCTGTTGTGGTGGCGCACGCCTTTAATCCCAGCACTCGGGAGGCAGAGGCAGGCGGATCTCTGTGAGTTCGAGGCCAGCCTGGGCTACAGAGCGAGATCCAGGACAGGCACCAAAGCTACACAGAGAAACCCTGTCTCGAAAACAAAACAAAACAAAACAAAACAAAACAAAAAAAAAAAAAAAAAAAAAAAAAACAAGAAAAACAATATAACTTTAAAAAAAAGTTCCAAGAAATAAAAAAAAAAAGTGTTTGGGGGGCTGGAGAGATGGCTCAGAGATTAAGAGCCCTGGCTGCTCTTCCAGAGTTCTGAGCTCAGTTCCCAGCAACCACATGGTGGCTTACAACTATCTGTAATGTTATCTGGTGCCCTCTTCTGACATGCAGACAGAACACTGTATACATAATAAAGAAATTAAAAAAAAATTTCATCGTCTTTAAATAAAAAACTCAACACCTAAAAGGTTCCAGTTCTCTTTAAAATCTGAGTCGTAACTGAGCTCTTATAAAACAGAAAACAAGTTATATACTTTCTTATTTCAGAAGAGAGGATGATCAAGATATGGTTATGATCAGGCAAAAGCAGAACCAAAATTCAACAGTGTGGAAATCTCAGCTTCTCACATCTGGAATTCACACATGATCTTCTGGGCTCCAGAGTGCTTGGGCAGCCCGTGTCTCCAGCTTTGCCATCTGCAGCACACATAGCTTGTCTTGTAGGCTCAGGTTGGCTCCATTCCACTCTCTCCGTGGTCCTTGCACAGCCAGTGTCCTGTGGTTTCTGCTGCACCATCACTAATAGCCCCCCACACCCTGACCTCTCTTCAGGGACTCTGACCTCACCATTTGATGTCAAGCCTCAGCTTCTCCGTGACTCCTCATGCCTTCAAAATCATACTATGTGGAGACTCTTACATGTTGCCCAGTTCAGCTTCCAACTGGAGATGCAGCCTTGCCCAGACCACAGCTTGTCTGGTGAAATATTTCCCAGAAGAGTTTTCCTCGACAATGCTGATCTCATATTATCCGCAGTTGATTTCTCAGCACCTGCTGACCAGAGACCTTGTAGGATCTGCTGCTTTGTGAGACTTTCTCACCATTCTTCCACGCTCCCGCACAACAGCCCATTAAGCTCTGAGGACTCGATGTCTTTTCCAGCTCAGGTTCCAAACACTTCCCCAATCTTCCAACAAAACATGATCAGATCCATTGATGCAACACCCCACTCCTGGTACCGATTTCTGTTTTTTGGTCATGGTGTGTATTTGCAGTAACAGAGAAGCAAACTAAAATAATTGGAAGCTCTTTTAATCCAAAGCCAGAATTCATTCACCAATTTGTTTTGTTTCTTTGGCTTTAAAAAAAAAAAAAAAAAAAAAAAAAAAACCTCAGATTGGCAACTCAAATTGCAGTTTTTAAAATCAAATATTCTCTGTGGCTAGAGAGATGGCTCAGCAATTAAGAGCATGTGCTGCTATGTTTTTGAGACAGAGGCTTTCTAGTTAACCCTGGCTATCCTGGAACCTGCTTTGTAGACCAGGCTGGCTTCTTCCTTTGCCTCCTGAGTGCTGGAATTAAAGGCATGTACCACCATGCCCAGCCATGCTTGGGCTGCTGTTGCAGAGAACCTGAGTTCAGTTCTAGCATCTACCCTGGCTGGCTTACTACTCCCTGCCACTGCAGTTCTAGTGGATCCAGCACCCTCTTGTGGATGCCAAGGGCACTACATGCATGTGTATCACATGCATGCACTCAAGGCATAAGCAGTACAATCTTGAAATACATTAACTTGATTGGTGCTGAGGAGTGACAGCAGGGACATCAGAAATCTTTGTTTTCTGTAGCTAAGCCATTTATATTTCTTTGGTTGTGGTTTTGGTTTTTGGAGACAGTTTCTATGTAGTCCTTGCTGTCCTAGAACTCACTTTGTTGACCAGACTGGCCTCAAATTCACAGAGATCCGCCTGCCTCTGCCTCCTGAGTGCTGGGATTAAAGGTGTGTACCACCTCTACCAGCAAGCCATTATGTTTCTATTAGAGAACAGTGCAGAGAAAGCCCTACAGTTCCCAGCATCTGGGTGTGTCAGTCAGGGCTCATTGGTACTGTGTGGTGTGATGGTATACATGGCCATACTCACAGTGCACAGGTGCATGTCGTATGCTCAGAACCAAGGCTGCAGTAACGTGTTGCAGCAGAGGAGAGCATTGCCCAAACACCTTGGACTCACAAATGCAATTGATTTTTAATTAGTTTCTGATTGTTGTTTATTCTGTTGCCACCCTCACACTGAGCTACCCCCACCCACAGTTTAAGGAGCTTTGTTCTCAGCTAGTCTGGGTTACAAACTCAGACAAGCAAGCAAATAGAGCCCAAGCCCGGTGTGCTGATGTGCAGCCCTTATATCCTTTGAGTTGGGAGAGGGAGTTAAAAATGCATGTTTGTGCTGCTCATATTTGCAGGAACACTGGGGTTAAAGGGATGCACCACCACCGCCAGGCATCTAGGTGAATTTTTATGTTTTAGAGACTATAAATAATGCAATTCGGGATATTTCATGTGTCTGTCATGGCAGACTTATGGCCTACACTCTTACTGCCCTGGGAATGGAACCAACAACTATGAGGATAATAGGCTGGATGTCCCATAATCTCTGTGGGCCTTTGGGGAGCTACCCATGGGAGAATTGATCTTTTGTCTTGTTCCCAGAGTCATTCCAGGTGTCTGTTATATCCCCTCCCCTTTTCTCTGGCCAGTCAGAACTGGGAAATAGGCAGGCTGGCAGCATGGACCCCAGGCAGATGCTGCCCCTCAGTGCCTGTACCCTCAGATGCTGCCTAATCTGCTGCCACCACTGTGTGTCTCTTGTGTTATCAGGAAGCAGAGAACTTGGTGGCCACAGTGGTTCCCACCCACCTGTCGGCGGCTGTACCTGAAGTGGCAGTTTACTTGAAGGAGGCTGTGGGGAACTCCACTCGCATTGACTATGGCACAGGTATCTAGCTGCTGCTGCACGGCTTTGGATGACTGGGACCTTGCTGCTTTCTTCATGTTCCACACAGGCCCCTGGGTGTGTGTGTGTGTGTGTGTGTGTGTCTCCGTGTCCGTGTCCCTGTCCAGCAGGGCCTGTGTGGGTGGGTGGGTGGGGCTCTGTGCTCTAGTTTATTCCACCAGGTGGCGCTATGCTGCAGGCCTGGCGCCCGCTATGCTGCAGGCCTGGCGCCCGCTGGGAGTTGGTTTCAGTTCTTTGTGAAGCTGGCGTCCAGTTAAGCTCTTCATCACTCTGTGATAGTTTATTGAGCACTTACTCAAGGCAGCTGCCTATCGACGCTGAGAAAAGAAAGACCTTTGCTAGCCTGCTCTGTCCTGACATCGCTTGTCTCTTAGCCCTTTTTTTTGTGCTGATGGTCTTTGGCTCTGTCATCCATTTCAGCCAAGCTGTTGTGGGTACCTTAAAGAGAAGTGTTCTTTAGGTCAGGGATGGCCTCTGTGGCCCAGGAGACCCTGCTTTCCCTAAAGCTGGCATGTGAGAGATAGGCTGCCTCCCACTTGCTTGAGGAAGGAGGGCCAGAGGGAGCCTGGAGCCAGAACCTGGGAGAGCTTCATTCTCTGCTCGCTCTGTTGCTGGAAACAGTTCTGAGACCATGGATGTGGGGGCTTTAAGACCCAAATAAGAGGAGGCAAAGGCAGGTGGATCTCTGTAAGATCTCTAGCTCAACCCCTCCCCCCCCCCAAAAAAAAAGACCCAACTAGGAAAAAAAATTTTTTTCACCCCGAGACAGGGTTTCTCTTTGTAGCCCTGGCTGTCCTGGAACTCACTCTCTAGACCAGGCTGGACTCAAACTCACAGATCTGCCTGTCTCTGCCTCCGGAGTGCTGGGACTAAAGGTGTGCGCCACCACTGCCCGGCAAGGAAAAGATTTCTAGGGCAAAAGGGTCATCTGGAAATTGACAGGTGAACATGACTGAGCATATGTGCTTCCAGCTTCTGGCCGACTCTCCAGTCTGTAGATAGCCGGCTTCCCTCCTTCCTGAAGTCTTAGCACGTAAGGAACAGGGTCCAAGGTCCAGCCAGCGCCTTCTGAGAGCTGACTGTTGCTGTGGATGTGACAGGGAGAGAAAAGGGTACCTTAGCCTTCTAGTCTGTCCACATGGTCCCAGTGGACCGCGTCCAAGCTTCTTACCGTGGCTGTTGAGGCCATCTGGGGAGAGGTTTTTCCCTCGCCCTCTGCCAAAGACACACTCCTAGGCCTTTGCACGTGCTGTTGCTTCTGCCTATTCCTCCTGTCCTTTTCCCCAGCTGTTAGCCGTTCCTCTTTCATTTCCTTAGGGGAAAACCTTGAACTCTGAAATCAGGGTTCCCCTGGGATGTGCCTCAGGTACCCACCTGTCTCCTGCATAGCTAGACTGACAGTAGTAATGTCTGTTTAATGTCTGGTTTCTGACAGTTGATGAACTCTTTGAGGCAAGGACTCCTTTGTCCCTGGGACCCAGCATGGACAGTGAGTGCCCACATAGTAGGTGCTCAGTAAGCTGGGGTTGCTAATGTGTCAAACTCGTAAAGTAGGGGGCAAGTGCCTGTGCAGGAATTGACATGAGGCCCATCGGGAGCATGCGCGCCAGTGCTTGTAATCACTGAAAGGCCCGGATCTTCTGGACACTGCGGGAGGCTCCACCTCAGTATGGGCCTTCCTCCTCAGAGGAGCTGAATGCTGGGGAGTCCTTCCGGAAGACCTCAGCCTAAGATGTTTTTCTTCCCCAGGGCATGAGGCCGCCTTTGCTGCTTTCCTCTGCTGTCTCTGCAAGATCGGGGTGCTCCGGGTAGACGACCAGGTGGCTATTGTCTTCAAGGTGTTTGATAGGTAAGAGCTGGCTGAAGGGAAGAGGTGCATGCTGTCCCTGTGTTCACCGTGTGGAGGCTCTTCTGAGCTGGCTGAAGGGAAGAGGTGCATGCTGTCCCTGTGTTCACCGTGTGGAGGCTCTTCTGAGCTGGCTCCCTATGATACAGCAGCTGCCCCCCTCTTATAGAAGAGGAAACAGACCTCTGCTGAGATCACAGTCCACCATAGGAGGCAGATTCTCCTGGGCAGCACAGGTGTACAGTGTAGTTGGAATTTTCTTTGGGCTGCCAACCAGCTCTCAAATAAAGACAGGGAGACATTATTAATTATGTATGCTTGGCCTTAGCTTAGGCTTGTCCTGTTAGCTCTTTTAACTTAATTTAACCTGTTTCTATTCATCTACATTTTCCTTGTGAGCCTTTCACCTTTCTTTTATTCTGTATGTCCTACTTTCCTGCTTCCTCTGTGTCTGGCTGGCCAGCCCCTGGTGTCCCCTTTTCTTTCTTCCCAAGCCTAAATTCCTCCTCATACTTACTCTCCCTGTGCCCAAGTCCCACCTATACCTTCTCTCACTATTAGCCGTTTAGCTTTTTATTAGACCAGTCAGGTGCCTTAGGCAGGCAAAGTAAAATAGCAACACATCTTTGCATAGTTAAGTGGTGCAGAGACCTGCTCTGAGCTGCACTGGTCCCTGGGGCATACTGGTGTGCTGGAGTTGAGGCACGTATAGCTCTGCAGGTGACCCAGGGATGTGTCTGACTTCTTGGATGTCACCCACTTTCCAGTGGCGCCTGAGGTTAGAGAAAGGACTCCCGCCTGAGGTTACAAGTTGCCAGGGACGGCGACACTAAGCCTGGTTTCCAGGTGGTGTTTGGTCTCTCTCCCTAACAGAAGATGTATGAGCAGAAAGAAAAAAGCAGCCCTGTTGGCTCTTCCAGCCTTGCTATTCCCCCTACCCTTCCTGTGCTGAAGAACACCACTTCTTACCTTTCTCTCTCCTTTCTCCCCCCACCCTCCTCCGACGCAGGTACCTCGAGGTTATGCGGAAGTTGCAGAAGACGTACAGGATGGAGCCTGCAGGCAGCCAGGGCGTGTGGGGTCTGGATGACTTCCAGTTCCTGCCCTTCATCTGGGGCAGCTCACAGCTCATAGGTACTAGTGGGTGGGCACGTCTCTACCTTGAACCCCCAAGTCCCTCTGTTTTCCTTCCTCCTGCCCAGGGCACGCAGTGACAGCTTGTAGAGCAGGACATTAGACCAGCTAGTGATGGAGGCTGATTGCTGTGGACTTAGTGCTTTCAGCCAGTGTGGCCAGCTGGAGGAGATGACAGTGGAGTGCCACCAAAATAATGGGTAGTGACATAGACTGGAGCCGCTGTTGGTGCATAATGGACTGGTGTGCATGCATGCATCTCCTGGCAACAGCTGTGGGCTTTCACTTGAAAATTAGGGCCTCTTGGTTTGTCAGTCATCAGTGCCATCCCCTGTTGGTACTGAAATCTGTGCAGGGGCATATGAGGAGTTGCTGCCAATGCCTTCTCAGTTTGAAATGGTTATCCAGGCATGGGCAGCATCTTGGGACCTGCCATTGGGCGGGGTTAGTGATCATCTTTAGTTCTGGGGAGAATGAACTGCTGCTAATTAATACTCACAAATGCCTAATGGCTGAGAACTTGCCATTTTAGATACTTCCACCACAGTCTTCTCAGGGACCCCAGGAAGATTTAAGGGCAGGCACCATACCTAGTGTGGCCCCAACCTTTGGTGGGGTAGAGGGTGATGCTATTCCAGTCTTTTTGCATAGATGCAGAACCTTGAAGGCTGGACTCATCCATCAAGGTCTCACTGCCATGTGCTGAGCTGAGTTGGATTTGTTAGGATACATTCCTACATCACCTGTGTATACCCTGTGCATGGTTTCATTGCACAAGCACTTAGTGTGTACCTCTTACACCATGGTGTCTTCTTGACACAGTGAGTGTGTGCAGTTAACTCCACTAAGGACATTTTTTTTCCTGACTAGTCTGTAACTCCCCTGTCTCTGAATGCTGGGACCAGAGGTGTACACTGCCACACCCAGCTGAGATAGCTTTGAAGGTAGATGTCCACTCTGCTGATGGTGCTGTCATGGGTAAGGGGGGCACGCAGTACTTAGCTGTGTCTGTTACCTCTGCTGATTGGCGCATAGCAGGCTGGTGTGTACTGTGGCACCTCACTAGGTGGCAGAGATTTCTCAGTCCCATTATGATCTTTATGCAACTAGGCAAGCACTCCACCACAGCTCTGCCCCAGCACACCATCACAACGGATGTAAAGTACTGTGGTAGGCACCTTGTGCTCAGGCTGGATCAGGGCTGTTCTGAAGGCCAGGCCTCTGCTCTCCCCAGACCACCCCCACCTGGAGCCCAGACATTTTGTGGATGAGAAGGCGGTGAGCGAGAACCACAAGGACTACATGTTCCTTCAGTGCATCCTGTTCATCACTGAGGTGAGAGCCACAGCAGCCTCGGGTAGGCAGCTTCGGCTACCAGGGCCTGCTTGCCCATGCCAGCCTTCTCCCAGACCCAGGAGGACTCTTTCATTGTTTGGTTTGAGGTGGAGCCTCACTTTGCTGCCCAAGCTGACCTTAAATTCATGACAATTTTCCTGCCCCAACCTACTAACTGCTTGGGATTACAAAATAAGCAGCCATACTCAGCTCCCACAGGGCTCTTGAGCTAACGATTAAGTTGTAGTTATTAGCTAGACTTGGTGACTGGCAGCAGGCCTGAAAGGGTGGCAGACATTGTATGTGTGTGGGGGGCGGCAGCATCGTCCTTCCGGCCCCTTCTGTAGAGCCATGCTTAGAGCTGGAGTGACGGGAGTGGTTAGCTGTCTTCGTCTGTGCTTCAGCAGTGTGCTGGAGGTGAAAACAGGCAGCCTCTGGTGACAGTCACTGGGCCCTATACCACCTGGCAGATTCCCTGACGGGAAGCTCTCGTCTCACCAAGGCAGGATTCCCTATAGTGTGTTGCTGGAACATTCCCCAAAGTGGCTTTGGGACTTTGAAAATTCATGGCCTTGGGCCCACGCCAGCTTTCTCACTTAGAATCTTGTGGACACGAGCCAGGAGCTCATCAAGGGCCTACAGTCTTAGGGCCTTGCTTCTAGCAGGTGCTGGAGCTTTTCATTCTCCCACCGATACCTGTAAACTCTCTCACCCCAAATTTACAAAGTCCTGTCTTCCTTCTCTTCCCGTGCCCACCTGCATGTCTGCTCTGTGGAAGTATACATGGACCCTGCCCATGGACGCTACGTTCAACTTCCTGTTCTGAGCCTCTGAGTAGGGAAGAGCCTGGTTAGCAGCCTTGACTCTTAAGTTCCTTCTGGTCAGCATTCGCCTCTGGCTTCTGCCAAGCTCAGGGGCCAGAGGGGAATGACACATTTTTTCCAAGTCAGCAGATGGAGCCAGGACTGATGGCTGCAGAGCACTGCTTGCCTCTTAGAGATATGCTGCCTTCAGCAGAGTGGCAGGCTCAAGGTCAGAAGGACTTGGGGGCAGCCTGGCTCACTGCCTTGAGAGGCAGCTTTGCAGGGCTCCTTCAGAGTGGAATGCGGGGCTGGAGAGCTCCTGGATGAGGTGGAAGGACTGGATGGAAAGGAGCCGCAGATTCTGCAGAGCTTGCTGCTTGAGGCCAAAAGCCTAAGCTGTTTCTGCTTCCCTGGCGGCCTGCCAAGCCCCTTGTGTCCTTGTCAATAATTCTAACAAGGAGGCTAGCCAGATTGGGCTTCGGGGACTGGGAAGTGATCCCACACTAAAAGTTAGTGTGTTTGTTTGTTTCTGCTGGTATAAAACCCCAAAAGCTTTCCCAAAGTTTGGGACAGAGGACCCCATAGAAGGTAGCCCAAAGTAACCACGAGGTGGCGCTAAAAGCGCATTGCACTCGGTGGTTTCAGTAACAGAGGTGGGAGGACGTGGGAGGACGTGGGAGGGGTGGCTTTTGGCTGGTGTGCACCTACTCTGCAAGGCTTGGTTTTCTCTTGGTGCCAGGCTCTGGGGTCAAGCTCTGGTTGGTTGCTAGGCACTGTGGTAGCAAAGGCCCTTTTTTTTGCCTGTCTGGGTTGGACGGTTGCTGTTGCACCACTCTGTTTCACAGTCTTTCTTCTCCCTCCACCAGCCCCCCATGCATTCAGAGGAGTGGGCAGCGTTTTAGGAGCTCTGATCAGTGAGTGAGTGGCTGGATTAGGATCACCCAGACCCTGGCGCACAGCGTCCTGGAAGTCTGCGAGGTGTTCAGGGCTCTGTTGCCTCTGGAGACCTGAAATCCCTCCTGGTAAAACAAACCCAAGGAAGTTGGGAAGGAAGTGGCTTCCCTTTGCTGGCCTTGTGTTGGGACTGCCTTGATAGCTCCGGGCAGGGCAGGGCAGCGGAGGAAGCCCACCTTGCGGGGCTCCTCCTGCTCCAGGAAATGCAGCCCTGGCGCCTTTAAGAGTCCAGGGCAGGCAGGAAAAGAATTTCAGTTTCAATCTGGCTTCTAAATTTGGAGTTTTGGGAAGGGAGGGATCAGATTTCAGCTGGAAGGGAAGGAGCTGACAGGAAGGCGCTGTGCTGAGCCTCCCCCACCCCGCCCATCCCCCTCAGTTACTGACAGAGGAACCATTTACAAAAGGCCGATTCTCTGGGGAGTGGAGAGGCAGGAACGCAGCGTCTGTGAGTAATTTCCTGCTCAATATGGCTGCTCTGACTCACACGATTCCCCTGGGGTCACTGCGGGACTGCAGTTGCTTGCTCGTTCTCGCTCTTTCTCTCTCTTCTCCCTTTGTGGCTAGAATGAGCTAATTTTTTTTTTTTTTTGTCTTCTCACCCCCGATTCCTTTTCCCCCCTCATCTGTTTTTTTTTTCTTTCTCTGAGTTGCAGAGCCTCCTTCTGAAGGACTTGGGAGACCTGAGGCACTGAGGCCTGGGGGTGGGGTGGCCTCTCTAGAGACGTACTGGGCCTCACAACTCTGCAGCCTGCCAGAGAGCCCTTTCTGAATATCCCTTGCTGGCGAGCGAGCGAGGCTGGGCCTCCAGGCAGAGTCTTATGTCTGTCTTTGCCCCAGAGCCCTTGCTGAGCAGGCCCTTGAGCACCTGCTATGAGACACAGCAGTTGGCAGTTGGCTCAGAGGGTCGGTCGGCAGGGGCCCTGGTCCATACCCCAGCAGTCTCCGGCCTCTGGCGTGCGGGTGTGCAAGGTGAGGGCAGGAACTAGAGAGGCTGAGGGTGCAATCTTTGCAGGGGTGTTGGGATCCGTCTCAGGAAACAAGGGCCTTGTAAACTTTGGTGCCTCCTGTTCCTGGTCAAGGAAAGACTCCACAAATGCCTGGTAGAGAGCGAGGCTAGCTTTGGAAGTCTGGTGACTTCACCACTGGGGAGGGACCACTGAGACAGGCTCTCCTTGGGGACTTTTGCCAGGGGAAGGAGAGGTGGGAAGATGGCAGTATTTCTAATGTAAATCTAGAAGTTGTTCTTACTGAAGTGGAGGCCTGTAGGAGTGGACCAGTGAAGCCACAGCACCAAAGTGGCCTGCGATGTCCCATTACAAAGAATGGGTTTATCCTTTCTCCTTGGACTAGCCACCCCTACCTTACCCCCCACTTCCATGTAGAACCTCTTCTGGAACCTTCCACTCACTAAGGTCCAAGTCTCTGCCTCCTTGCCAAACTCAGTTACTTTGCTTTTCAGAGTCTCTCTGTAGCTGAGGCTGGAGGCTGAGCCCTGTTCCTAACATAAAGCTGCCTGTAAACTGGGAAGGGAGTGAGGCGGGTGTGGTGAGCTACATGGTTAATAAATACAGTTGTCCTGGCCTTGCGCTGTGACTGACAGAATCCACTCAGGACACAGGTGGACCTGATGTCACAAGAACCTCCTGGGCTTGCTAGAGCGCTCCTGCCTTCCTGGAGTCAGGTTATTTAGCAAGAAGGACATAGTGATGGACTGGCCATGTTCCTGCCGATCTTATTGCCTTGCTTATTTCTGCCTTCCTCTTGACCTGGCTAAACAAACCTTCCTCCCGTCCTGCTCTGGGGTTGTGGCCTCCTTCCTGTCAGCCACCTGTTTCTCCCTCTATCTGCTATGCAGCGACTCTCAACAGGGCCCTCCCACAGCCCCTCTCCTACCTCTGAGGTCTGCCTGGCAGGTCCAGACCAAGCCCGTACAGTCTGGGGAAGGGAGCCTGGCTGCTGTCTGAATGGGAACACGTCTGAATGGGAACTCTCCCAGGGTGGAGATTTTGTCTTCCTAGGGTTGCTAAACTTGATAGGTTTTGGGAACAGGGCCTTTGTTTTCCAGTCTATAGGAAGGAAAGGTAAGCGGAGGATGTGGGCAGGAGAGGTGGTATTTTTCAGCAGGGCTTACAGGCCAGGCCCCTTCCTTCCCTCATGAGTGTGCCTCCCCATCTCCTGTGTGCTCTTGTGTCCATGCTGCATGAGAGCAGGGCTAGACTCCCAGGTGGCCTCTGCCTCTCTAGTTCCTGGACTTTTCTTTTCCAGATGAAGACCGGCCCCTTTGCAGAGCACTCCAACCAGCTGTGGAACATCAGTGCTGTCCCCTCGTGGTCTAAAGTGAACCAAGGCCTCATCCGCATGTATAAGGCGGAGGTGAGTGGGGTCTGGCCAGCATGTCTGCCCCGCTGTCACTTAGTCCTGGGGGGAAGTCAGGACTGCTGATTCTTTCGGAAACGTGGAGACCTCAGAACCTGATGGGCCCTGTGTAGCTTAGAGATTGACACAGCCCTTGCTGCTAGAGAAGTTGGAGGCTCTCTTTCTGTCAAATGACCAGAGGCCCCTCTGGTAACCTGAATGTCTCTCCCAAGGTGACTAGGGTACCCTTGGGGTGGGTGTGGTCCTAGAGCCACTGTCCGAAGTGAGCTAGGGTATGGTCAGGGGTGGTCCCTGGCCTTCTTTAATGGGAAGGGTGTGGGTGTTCTCTGCTTTCAGCTCACAAGTCTGGGCTGGGAAGCTCCCCTGCTGAAAAGGGCCTGCCCTTCCTACTTCTTCCATCCTTTCCTCCCCAGAAAGGGGGAGAAGACTCTTACCTTCTTCCTCCCTGTCTCCACGGCCCCTCTCGGCTTGAGCACACTAGTCCTTGGAACTGCTGCTCTTTGACCTTGCGCAGCCCGCCTGCCCCCCAGCCTCTGGCCTTGTCCTGCTGATGCCCGTCTCTGATTCTTGACAACATCATCCCTTCTCTTCTGGAGAAGTCAAGTTTCACTGGGCTCAGAGCTCACCCTATCCATCATCAGAGGTAGGACAGTGGGGAAGGCTCTAGAGGCCAGCCAGATTTGGTAGCACAAATGTTTCCCGCTTGCCTAGTGCCCTTGGATTGGCCCTGAAGTGGTTAATAGAACGTGGTCCGACCAGGTCTGGGCCTGGCCAGCTTTCTTCTGTCTTCTTCCCTCCTGACCCTCTTCCTCTAGACTTCACATCCTATGTTTATGCTTCAGCCCACATACCTCTCATCTGGGAGGCCATTCCTGAGCTGCCCAGACTTTTTCCTCCTCAGCAGGCCAGGTCCAGCTCCTGGGCACCACCCTTGGTCCTGCCTCCACAGCCTTATTTCTGCAGACTCCCAGTGGGAAATACAGAAAAGTCTGACCTGCTGCTGGTCCACACCACTGCAGGGAAGTGTCAGCATGGAGGGTGTGTAGCTCCCCTTATATCAAAGGCAGGACTCCAGCTGCCTCCTGCTTGGATTCCTAAATGCTGGCCTTGTGTGTCTTCAAACCTGCCTTGATTCAGCCTTCTAAGGGGAAGGCCTGCAACCCTGTCCCCCTTTCAGAGGCAGAAGATCTGCAGATAAGGTACAAGCTGGTGGCATGACACACAGACCTTGGCAGCCTTGACCTGAACTTGAAGTCCTGAAGGGGTTGCTAGGTATCTTTAGTTGGTGAAGGAAAGGTCAGTGTGACTGAAGACCAGACATTTCACCTGGTGTATGCGGCAGGTGGGAGCTGACCCCTGCCCTGGCTCAGGCCCCTATGCCAAGGCTGGATTTGTAGTGTAATTGTACGGCTTGCTGATAGGCGTGAGGACCTCAAGGCTTTGTAGGACCCAGTTTTTTTTGTGTGTGTGTTTTATTTTTTTGAGGGGGGTGGTATTCAAGACAGGGTTTCTCTGGAACTTGCTCTTTAGACCAGGCTGGCCTCAAACTCAGAGATTCACCTGACTCTGCCTCCCACATGCTGGGATTTTTATCTCTATAAAGGGCTATAAGCCCCTGCCCAGAGGGTCCAGGAAAGGACCTACTTTTTCAGCCCAAATGTCTATAGGGAAGACATTTAAGGCTCACTTAGACTTGAAGTACAAGGCCATGGCACCCTGAGCTGCCAACAGAGGTCTAATCAGGCATGGCATTAGACAGCCTCAGGATATGCAATTAACTGTCAAGTTGCCTGACCTGGTTTTTTGAAGAGAAGTATCAGGGTTTTTCTGGGCCTTGTGTGGTGGGGGTCTTTCTGTTCTGAAGGCTACCACTGTACCTGGAAAGTCCTACCTCTCCTTGAATCACAGACCGCCCAGCCTAGACTCTGCTGGGGTCAGGAGGTGACAGGCTTCTGAAGCCCAGGCACAGTAGCTGGCCAGGATGGTTGGAAGAAAGGCCCTCTTAGATGTTTCTCCTGCCCTGGGGTCTTGGACTTCCTCAGCCCTGCGGCTTCTTTCACGCTCAGGTTCTGCCAGTCCTGTGGACAGAATGAGGACAATTTCTGCCCTTCCCCCACTTGCCTTTCTGGCTTCTCTTGTGAGTGCTTGAGGCAGGTTGACCTTTGACCCTTTCTGGAATTCCAAGCCCTGGGGATGGGGGTGGCTTCCAAACTCCCACCACTTCCTGATGACATAAGCACCATGGCAGCTGCCTTGCCTCAGGCCTGGACATGTTGCTCCTCCCTTAGGGACATGCTGCACTTCCCTTCTCCCTACTGTGCTCAGGCCTGGCTCCACTTTGGAGTTCAGTCCTGTCTACTTGTCCCGTGTGTGCCCCTTGAGCTTGTTCTAAAGCTGGTTTCTGGGGAGAGGGAAGGCGAGCCAGTCAGGTTACTCCTTTGACCACAGCAGAGGCCCTCACCTCCTCCGAGTCCATAAGTCTTGTTCCCCAACAGCCTACAGGTCCCTAGCACACCGAGGGTTGTGTCTGAGGCCAAAGTATAGGAGGAGGCCAGGCCAGCCAGGCAGATCCTAGCCTCACCCCCTGGCTTGGGCTACTGCCTGGGAGAGTGAGCCTGTGACGGCCTGTGGCAGGCAAGGATATGGGGGTCAGGCTTGGGGTCAGGCTGCCTGCGGCTCTCTGCTTCTTGCCAGGGGGCTGAACTGGGCTCAGGAAGTCCCCATCCCTTTGCCTACCATCAGTGCTATTGCCTTGACCTCCACAGGGGCTGTTGCCAAGGTGGGCAGAGGTGTGTGCCCACTCGGGTTGTCTCACGTTAACGAGACCCAGAGACTCCAGAGAACGGGTCCTAGCCTCTTCTCAGCCATGCTCAGATGTCCCCACACCTCCAGGGGCAGGACTGGGTGGGGGGTGGGGGAGGGGGGGGTCTTTTCGGTTTCTGTGCCTGTCTTGGCTTCCACTGTGTGTGTATCTTTGAATGGGAGGCGGACAGGGTGAACAAGTATCACCCTTCTTGGCTAGGCCAGGGCTGCTCTGACTGGGTGACTTCTTGAGCATTCACGGATACCCCGTAGAAGTGGCTTCTGTCTGAACCCTCAGGTTTGTCTGGGTCCCTGGGGTGCACGAGGCCAGCCCGCCTCACCCCGGTCTCCCTCCTTCCCCAGTGCCTGGAGAAGTTCCCTGTGATCCAGCACTTCAAGTTCGGGAGCCTGCTGCCCATCCATCCTGTCACATCAGGCTAGGAGAGCCTGAGCCACCAGAGCCACCCTGGCCAGGTTCCTGTCCCTCTGACCCAGCACCCTCCACCCACCTTGTGTTCTTTCTGTTTGATGAGATGCTCTTTACTGAGATGGGTGCTGAACAGGGCCTGAGTCGTGGGAATTGACCGAAGTGTGGCCAGTTTCTGACTGTCCGTCTGCTGGGCAAGCAAGAAGAGGGCTGGGACGTGGTCTCAGGGCCCTGCCCATCCCTGTCCTCCTCGCTTCCTTCCTCTCTTGCCCAGGCCCATGTGCAGACAAGGGCGGCCTGCTCTTCCCATTGCTTCCCTTTTCCCATGATGGGACTCCTCGTTCAGAGAGGAGTGCTGCACCTCCGGAGCAGCTGGTCAGCTTCCCCGAGCTGTGTTCCTTCCACTGGCTGTCTGCTGTGGGGCTGGAGGCTGAGGCTGTCAGCAGCTGGGGAGGGCTGAGGGTGAGATGATGAGGTTGGCCTTCTCAAGGTAGCCTCCTAGGCCCTGAGGTTACCTGTGCCCAGCCTCATTCTGGCTTCTGTTCCCTGGCCCTTGGATTTGCTGGGTTTCCTGACTCTTAGTAATGTTCCCCTTCCTGGGGGTAGCCTAGCTATGGAAGCTTCCCTGGGCTCCTGGGAAAGCCTGTAGAATGGGTGAGGACTGTCTTTCCAGAATTGTCTCCGGCAGGGAGAGAATGGTAGAGACTCAGGGAGGCACTAGGGCTCTTGTGTGTGGAGAACCTGGTTTCCTCCGGTCAGTCTTAGGCCTGACCAGTGCTGTCCCTTCCTCCCTGCTTCCGTGGCCTTGAGCTTCACCTGAGGCCCTTGCTTGCTGCTCTGCTCCCTTGGGTCGGTCTGGGGCTGGTGTGAGATGGCAGGGGAGGCGGCAGCCCTCTCTTCCGACCCTTTATGAGATGAGGCAAGTGTACCCTGGCCCTGGGCACAGACTCAGAATGGGCAGAACTGCCGAGGGGACCTAGCCCCAGTCAGCAGTTTTCCCCCAGTGCTGTGGCTGAGCTGGTACCTGCAGGCTTCCCTGCCACCCTCCTCCTGTCCTTCTGCACTGCTCATCCTGTGTCTGTGTCCACGGAGCTTTGGGGAGTGGACACAGAGAGCACAGCCCAGGGCCTTGGCCAGAGCTTAGCAATGGTCTGCACAGAGCTGGGACTGCAGTCATCGGTGTCACAGGTCGTTTCCCAGGAAAGACCCAGTGCCAGCCTCCCTTCCAGGGCCAGGCCACCACCTTCCTGGGTCCCTAGCCCTGTGCCTCTCCCTCCGCTGTCCCTGGGTCCCTAGGCCTGCCTCCCTTGCTGTTTGGATTAAAGCCTCTGTTTTACACCTGGCCCCTGTGTGAGACATCTTTTCCTGACACGTCTGAGTGACTGTTCCCCGGCAGGTCTCCTCCCCATTGGTTGACTTTGTGGGAATGGATGTGTAGTAGGGATTCAAGCAGACAAGGGGAGCCAAGTCCCAGCTCTCCCCCTGCTCACTCCCAGCGGCAAGGTTGTGGGTAGGTTTCTGAGCTGCTCGGAACCCCAGCCCCCTCATCTTGAAGATGGGTACAATCACAAGTGGCGCTGGTGACCCCGAGTCTAGGCCTGGCACATAACACATGCTATGTTGTCACTGTAACAGTGTATGTGCCCTCCTGCAGCGGCTCTGGACTCCCATCAGCCCTGTCCGTGGTTCTTAGGTGTGGCCCATCCTCTGAGTATAGCTGGACAGTGGGACTCCTTAGACACCAGGCAGCCCTGAGAGTGCCTGTCCTGAGAACAGAAGCCTTTCAGCTGGCCCTGGAGGCTTTGCCACAGAGGCAGGAAAAGGAACCTCAACCCAGTGCCTTGTTCTTCTCCAGACACCGTTGGTTGCCCAAATTCTAGTCTCTGGAGTCCAGCACACTGGAGTTCAAGCCCAAGGCCAGCTGCTTACAATGGGGGAAACCATGATGCTTGACTTCACCTTTCAGAGCTTCAGTTTCTTGGTCCAAAAAAAAATGAGGCATAATAATGGTCTAGAGCTATGGTTCTCAACCTTCCTAAAGCTGTGGCCCTTTAATACAGTTCCTCATGTTGTGGTGACCCCCCAACCATGAAATTATTTTCATTGCTACTTCATAACTAATTTTGCTGCTGCTATGAATCATAATGTAAATATCTGTGTTTTCTGATGGTCTTAGGTGACCCCTGGGAAGGGTCATTCAGCCCCAAAGGGATCAAGACCCACAGGTTGAGAACCACTAATCTAATGGCTTATCTGTTTCCCAGGCAGTAGCTGTGTGTTTGTGACCACAGCATACCAGAAAAGAACAGCATTATTATATTATTATTATTTTGGTTTTTCAAGACAGGGTTTCTCTGTGTAGCTTTGGTGCCTGTCCTGGATCTCACTCTGTAGACCAGGTTGGCCTCGAACTCACAGAGATCCGCCTGCCTCTGCCTCCCGCGTGCTGAGATTAAAGGCGTGTGCCACCACTGCCCGGCAGAACAACATTATTTAGTGGATTGTAATTAAGAAATTAATTTTATCACACACAGGCATGTCCAAACTGTCTTAGTTAGGGTTTCTATTGTTATGAAAAGGCACCATGACCACGACAACTCTTATAAAGGAAAGTGTTTCATTGGGGCTGGCTTATAGGTTCGGAGGTTTAGTCCATTATCATTGTGGCAGGAAGTATGGAAGCATGCAGGCAGACTTGGGGCTGGAGAAGAAGCAGAGAGTTCTACATCTGGATCAGCAGGCAGCAGGAAGAGAGAGAACACTGGGTCTGGCTTGAGCTTCTGAAACCTCAAAGCTCACCCCCAGTGACACATTTCCTTCAACAAGGCCACACTAACTCCAACAAGGCCACACCTAATAGTGCCACTCCTTCTGAGCCTATGGGGGCCATTTTCATGTCAACCACCACACTGACACAATGTTATCTACTTGAAAGCTGTGCAGTCACATTTAAAAAATACATTTTCATGTGGAGCAATCTTCTCATCTATCTGTGGGTACCTGCACTTATGGGCACATACTCACACACGGATGCATACATATACATGTAATTAAAAATAAGGGCTAGGGGCTAGAGAGAGGGCTCAGTGGTTAAGAGCACTGGCTGCTCTTCCAGAGGACCTGGGTTCAATTCCCAGCACCCACATGGCAGCTCACAACTGTCTGTGATTCCAGTTTCAGGGGATCCAACACTCACACAAACATACATGCAGGCAAAACACTAATGTACATAAAATAAAAATAGATAAATCAGCCGGGCGGTGGTGGCACACACCTGTAATCCCAGCAGTCAGGAGGCAGAGGCAGGTGGATCTCTGTGAGTTTGAGGCCAGCCTGGTCTATAGAGGTAATCCAGGACAGACTCCAAAGCTACAGAGATACCCTGTCTCGAAAAACCAAAAATAAATAAATAAATACATACATACATACATACATACATACATACAAGGATTAGGCCTGGAGAAGGCTTAGGTTAAGGTCCAGAAGCTCCAGGTTTGGCTTCTAGCACCCACACGAGGCTCACAGCCATTTGTAACTCCAGTTCCAGGGGATCTGATGCCCTCTTTGGCCTCTGTGTGCATTGCATGCATGTGGCACACAAACATGCATGCAGACAAAGCATTAATACACGTAAGATACCTTTCAAATAAAAGTAAGGGCCCAGAGAGATGGCTCAGTGGTTAAAGTCTTACTGATCTTGCAGAGGACCTGTGTTCAGTTCCTGGCACCCACATGGTGGTTCACAACTTTCTATAACTTGAGTTCCAGGGGATCCAATGCCTTCTGGCCTCCATGGGTACTGCACACGTGTGCTTATATGCAGACAAAGCACTAATTTGTTTGTTTGTTTTTAAGACAGGGTGTCTACATAGCCCTGTGACTGGCCTTGAACTCACTACATAGACCAGGTTGCCCTTAAACTCAACAGAGATTTACTTATCTCCTGAGTGCTGGGATTAGAGCTGTGCACCATCATGCCCAGCTGATAAAAACAAGATCTTGCCTGGCGGTCCCAGCACTTGGGAGGCAGAGCCATGTGGACCTCTGTGAGTTCGAGGCCAGCCTGGTCTACAGAGTGAGATCCAGGACAGGCACCAAAACAACACAGAGAAAAACCCTGTCCCAAACCCACCCCCTACCCCCTAAAAAAGTCTTTTTTTCCTTATTTTTTTTAGTTTCTCAAGACAGGGTGTACCCGCCGTGGTTGTCCTGGAACTCACTCTGTAGACCAGGACGGCCTCAAACTCACAGAGATCCGCCTGCCTCTACCTTCCAAGTACAAGCCAAAAAAAATCTTAAAAATAAAATCTTTTAGCTGGGTGGTGGTAGCGTACACTTTTAATCCCAGTACTCAGGGCAGAGTAGATCTTTGTGAGTTTGAGGATAGCCTGGTCTACAGAGTGAGTTTCAGGACAGCCAGGGTTACACAGGAAAAAACAAAACCCTGTCTTGAAAAACAAAAAAACAAATTTTAAAAAATAAAATCTTTCATTAGGAAATTTCTTTTTTATTTTATGTGCATTGGTGTGAGGGTGTCAGATCCCCTGGAACTGGCATTACAGACAGTTGTGAGCTGCCATGTGGGTGCTGGGAATTGAACCCAGGTCCTCTTAACCACTGAGACATCTCCCCAACCTCCCCCACCCCCTTTTTTGTTTGTTTGTTTGAGACGGGGCTTATGTATCCCAGGCTGCCTCAGATTTGATGATTGGCTGAGGAAAACCTTGATGAAGTACTGATCCTCCTGTGTCTCCCCACTCGGTGCTGGAGTTAGAGGCGTGCACCCCCATACCCAGTTTGGGAGGTGCAGGAGATTGAACATAGGGTTTTGTGCTTGCTAGGCAAGCTCTCTACCAACTGAGCCACTACATCTCCAGTCACAAGCTTCATACGTTCATGTTTAGAGTTGAATGTGCCTTGAAGGAGATGATGTGAGCCCCCAGGGGCGGTAGTATAACCATGGAGTTGCTGCTAGCTCCAGGAAACCGGGCTGGGGCTGGGGCTGGGTAGCATCCTGGATAGGTGAGGAGTTTGGGGTTTGGTTTTAGTTTGGAGCCTGAGATCCTGGGGTGAGCTAAGTGGGTAGACAGCACAAGGATGGGGACTGGTGAGAAGTAGTCCAGTCAGGTGTGTGAAGATGTCACTCAGAGGCAGGAAGATGGGAGGGGAAGCAAGTGTGCCCAAAGACTCCCAGTTCCTGGCTAGCATTGCCTGACTGCTAGTGGTGGGGAAGCGAAGAGGGGTGTATTCCAGGGGGACCGCGGACCTGCAAAAAGATGGGAGGAGGTGTGTCTGGTCAGGGAGCCGTCGGCAGAGGTAGGATATAGCCAGCAGACCTTTGCCAAGTGTGAGCAGTGCCCGAGGAGAGGAGGGGCGGAGAGCCTGGTGCAGGGGCTCTGGCCTTCACCCCTGCCAAGGACGGCAGCGAAGGGAAGTACTGGGGGTGGGGACATGGGGAATGGAAACAGGGAAAAGTGGTGCTCCCAGGACTGCCTGGCCTGGGCATTGCCTCACCAGCCAGTGTTTACTAGTACAGTCTGAGAGCTTCCTCATGAGGGTAGTCTTTAGCCCAGTCCCTCCACAGGACAGAGGAGGGTGCAGTGGGGCAGTGTGTATTCCACGGTGCTCTGAATCACACAGCCTGTCTTTCTCAGGACAGAAGAACCTGGGAGTGGGTGAGACTGGAGGTTGTGGGGAGGTTTTGGAAGGCGGGCCATGTGGCTTTGTGCATGCTGAAAAGGGCCTAGGAGATGGTCCACAGGTGATGACGGAGAACCGGAGAGCTGGGGGAGTCAACCCTGCAGGCAAGTCCAGCCTTCCCAGGCAGCCGGAGGGTACTTGTCCTGTCCTACAAGAGGGTGCTGACTGGTGAATTGTACCAGGTTTTTCTGAGCAAGGAATGGCCAGGCAGGATCATCAACTGCCCTAGGGCCGAAGGGTAGTGAAGGGGTCCGTGGGGGAGTGGGAACATTGAGGATATGGGAAGAGGGGGTACATTCACACCTCGGAGATGAGTGAGAGGATTCACACTGCTGGTCCATGCTGTATCCACGAAGGATGACTGTGCTCTGCCGACATCTGGGTCTAAGGAAGCTCTCCGTGGATGGGCATGCCTCTGCCCGCCATCCTCACCCAAATGGACCTTGAGAACAAGCCAGACGTAGCAGCTTGTGTTTGAGAGTCTGTATGCGTCACCCTGGTTGCTTCATGAAGGTAAGAGGAAAGAGCCCTTTCCTAGGAGAGGGCTCTGCAGGAAAACAAAGCTGGGGTCTCAATGGCCCCCAACATAGGTTGTATGGTTTTTTCTTTTTTTTTGGTTTTTTGAGACAGAACTTCTCTGTAT